TTAAGAGGCAGCAGCGGTGTCTGTCACGCTTAGCCTCAGCAAAATGACAAATCCTTCTCCTTAAACCCCCTCAACGAGACATGCACCAACATGGAGCACGTGATTTCTTTTTCTCCCCCCACCTCCTCCTCCTGATCTCTTTTTTCGCCTCAATATAAGAAATAAATTTAAGAGATGAATCAGAGAAAAGGCAATGAGCAAGAATGCAAAAAAGAAAAAAAAAAGTGGGGATTTTTGAAGGGGGAGTGCTGAATGCGTGTACCACCAAAGAGAAAAGGGATATGACTCAGAGCGCTTCATCTAACCACAAATGGACTCGGTCCTATATTGCCAGTTTCTATTTTAAAATTCTTATATCGGAATCAAGAGTGTCTGATAGCAGTTGTCTGGGAAAGGCGGGCGTGGTTTGTGGTCTTGTCTGACACTGTCTTTAGAAACACTTCCCAGCAAAGGTGGACCAGAGCTGGGACTTAAGTGTCATGGGAAACGGTGCCATATGTCCACGTTGATTTCCCGGTGTTTCAGCGCGTTTTGACAGTTGGAATGAAATATGATCTGCCGGTGGCGCAGCAAAGAGTTCTCGGGGTGTTGTCTGTATTTGAAAAGCAGGTGTTACTTTGTAAATCCCAAATCTCCTTTCTCATCTCCCACCTCGCTCCCGGCTTGTCTCTCACATCTGATGGGTGGTCATGTTCTGCATTTGGGAACATTTTAGGCAGCATCGCCGGATGCCTCACAAATTGAGGGATGGGGAAATAAAAAAGACTTTGCCTGCTGCCTTTGGACCGTGCAAGCTGAATTAGACCCAACTTTTGAGTTTGTTAGTTGAGAGGCATGTGCATAGACAGCAAAGGGTACTTGTGTTTTAATTAATACATGAAAGAATTACCGCAGTGGTCTCTTGATTTTTTTTTTTTGATTTTTTTTTTATGAGCTATTTTTTCCCCTCTCCTTGGCCAGCAATCAGAAAGTTCCCCTGAGCAGATTAGAAATACTTCAGTAAAGAACAAAGAAGCTGGGAAAAAAAGAGGCAAAATATTAAGAATTCAAATGAGACTTTATTATTTTCTCCCCGACTTCCCAGTGAATATTTTTACTCCACTAGAGCAAAACCTGCTCTGTGACCACTCGGATATTGGATTATGGATGCATCTCCCACCGTTGGAGCAAAAGCTTGACTCCGAGATTTGCTCTTTCTTCCAGAGATGTCGGCTACCAGTAGTATGGGGAATGAAACAATATGAAAAGACAAACAATCCTGAAGTACTCCTGCTGTGACCTCTGTGGGGGCACTCTTATTTGACTAAAGGCTACACCCTCCTTTATGCTGTGGAGAAAGCGTCCCTGTCAAACCGAAGCCCAGAACAATGGGGGCCAGCCTCGGGGAAACAGGGCCATTTGCATGCAGCTGTTTGCCGTTTCCCGGACCACAAAGGCCAATCAAAGGATCTTTAATGGAGGATGACAAGCGTCAGCCAACGCCTTTGCTCTCTGTCTGTGCCAGCCCTCGCCGCTCTGTCTACCCTCCCAAAGTGGCCCACGTTTTTTTTTTTTCCGGTCGGGCATTCCTTAACTTTTTTTCTCTCTCTCTGTCCTGATGCTGTGGCCTTTGAAGGGTTAAAGGTTGGTCACGACAGCACTCTTGAGAGGGAACGCTCAGAGCAGCAAAGATCACCCCGAACATGTGTGTTACGGTCTGCCGCGTGCAGTCGCCAAATGGCGATACCTCGACACCAAACCTCCATTATCTTTTCGCTTCATCTCCAGGGTTTTAAGAGCCACGGAGTGTAACTCTGTGGATGGTTTTAGATGCACCCATCTGAGCCACAGTGCCACTTCCAATTTCAAGGGTGTTGATAGAAAACAAAATATGTATTATGAGGGGGATTGTCACCAGTGAATTATAGGCTGTCAACTGGAGAAGCCAAAGAAGAAGAAGAAGAAGGAGGGGGAAAAAAATCACCCAGAATGCAACATATTGAGAAGCAGTCCCAGCCCTTGCTTTGCTCTCTTGAGCTCAATAGACAGCTTAGCAGGCAGGTCAGGGGGAGGAATCTGAAAAGCTACTTTCCTCTCGCAGTCACTCACTGACCAGAATGCATGATAAGACTTCATGTCAACAAGGCCAGGAATAGAGATCACAGCCAATTATAGCCAAGTCAAAGTGGTTACCATGGCTAAACATAATTCAGCTCTCTCAATAATTTTGCCATTTCAAGTTAATCTGAGGTACGGATACATTTGGAGCAGTCTGTTCTCTGCAGTGTTTGTGTTATGGATTTTTCCTGCAGTTTTCTCTACACCGTTTTTTTTTTTTCTTTTTTCTTTTTCCTGCAGCTGGTGCCCTTCTGTCGCAATCTTCAACTGCTGCAAAGTTGAACAGTCAAACAAAGCACAGAACGCGAGATGAAAAGCTTTTCATGCCTCCCTAAGACATTGACATTTGTGCACACAAACAGTCTTCCCCCTCCTCTCCAGAATCTCGCAAAAGTTGTTTAAACCGAGAAAATCAACACGAAAGGATACCGACACCCAGAAACCTCTTATTGCCACAAGGTTTTTCCTTCATAGCCGTGTTTAAATCCTAAGATCTTAAGCGAAACCCAATTAAGTCAACCGAAAATATTTTACTTTGAATTCGGCTCTGTTCTTCTTCCTACAGTACCAAAAAAAAATAAAAAATAAAAACCATTATATGTATTTTAACTTTTTTAGACAGATTTGTCATTACTTGCCCAATTACAAGTTGACAAGACGGTCATTAATGAGGCCGAGACTATCTACAGTTAGGAAAAGAAGCAATTTGTTCTTTAGGCCGCCAGTACGGTCTAGATACTCCCCCTAATTGATGTACTGTTAGCCTATAACCAGAGAAATCTATACAAGCGAGGGAGGAGGATGCCGCCGAGGCACAGGCCTAATCAATCGTTAGGCTTCTGTTGACAACAGCATGCTATCATGCCATAGCGGTCTGATAGATAGGCAGAGTAGTCAGTGGACAACCAGAGAAAGGAGGTTACAAAAGGCAGATGGCGTGTGCGTGCGTGTGTGTGTGTGTCCACGAGGGTGTTTCAGCCGAAAGACTCGTCTCCCTGCTTAGAATTTTAAAACCCAATGAAATGCATTCTTTCTGTCTGTCCTCTCTAGCTGCCGTGATAAACCCGTCACTCCTTCCATGAGGAATGGCAGGCGGACCGATCATTAGTCTTTGCAGCAAAGCCGACGACTTCTCTCTGTGTTTTATCATCCGCCATTCTGGACAGGTTTTCTGAAAGGTTTGGGTAATTGTAGTAGTTATTGGGAAAGATGGAGTGACCCCGCAGCCCTCCACTTATGGCTCGGCTACAATGACGTCTCCTAATGAGGTGATAAACAGTCCAGCTAAGCAGAATCTACTGGCCATTAGATAGATCATGGTATTATAATGAAATGTCTAGTGGCCGAATGCCAGAGAATTTATACCATTAGTTTCATATTTTGCTGTCCTGCTACCGCTTCTAGTGTGTGCAGGAGTTTTTCCTAATGCACAATGACTTTAACATTATATTCTCAACAGTGTGTGTTTCACAGATGTTATTTTTTTTGTCTGTTTGCTGGTGTGACATGTACAGAGTGACATAGAATATCATTATAACCGGGGCCAGGCACAGCGGGCTGGAATGGCTAGCAGACATGTGTGTTGGGGTTTAAGGGTAGGAATTTCAAGCCCGAATCACTTCAGCTTTGAGCAGTTCAGACAATGCTAATTGCATCAGACCCTGACTGTCAAAAGTGTGAGGATAATTAGAGTGAGGGGGCAATGTGAACCCGGGGTGGTAAGTGTTAGTACATGACAATGCTCAGAAGCCAATGGGAGCATGGAAAAAGGTAACAGGCTGAAAGGAGGGCTAATTAGGAGAGAGCAGTGCAGAAAATACAAATGGTAGCTGCCCCCTCAGGGGCCCACCATTGCTGCAAACAACGGCGATTATTGGCAGTTCATGCAGCGCTCTGCTTGCACTTCTTAAATGGAACACATTTCCATGTTCTGCTTAGATTTTACCTAATTGTTTTCTCAAAATTGCAGACAGTTATGTTTTTTTTTTTTCTTCCTTTTTTTTTTTGTTTTTTTTTTTTTTTTTTTTTTGTAGTTCGGATCATTTTAACCCCACATAATGGATCTTTTTCTTTCTCCAGTTTTGTTCCCTCTCTCTTTGTAAATCATCATATCTGTGGCTCCACTCTATTCGTGATGCGGCAGTTTATTACTTAGGGGAAGAAAAAAAAAGTTAGAAAACGAAATGCTGAGAAATAACCTGTCCCAGTGTAATTTGCTGAAAGGAGGCAGAGATTTGAATGAAATAGTTAATATTCCCCTTAAAGCAGAGCTATTTGGCTGCGCTCCATCTATAGATTTTTCCTCCTGTGTGGACTCCAGACTGTCCCCTGTTCGATTGCCGGCACTGTAAAATGGATTATATTACACTCCTTTCTGCTGGGATTTTTGCCCTTTTTCCCCCTTCTTCTTCTTCTTCTTCTTCTTCTTTTCTTTACAGAGCAAGAAAAGCAAAAGAAACAAATGCTGGGGTGGAGGTCTCTAACGACCGTAAAACAAACTATTCTCTGTCCAGTTCAGTTTGACTCTGCGGTGGTTGTTCTCTATAGGTGGAGACCTTCCGGATGCACTGTGGCCTTTGTATTTGCTCAAGAATTTATGAGGTTACCATTGGTCTCCAGTGATTCAAAATTTCATGTCTTAGCCAAAAGGCTTAGACCACAAAGCGATGGAGACATGAATTGTTTCGTCTTTCCCCGGTCCTATATCGCGTGTAATGGCCCTTCTGTTTAAAACTGTGGTAAACATTGGACTGCTGTTGCCTATTTATTTTGCGCCAGCGGATTTTTACTGCATGATGTGTGGTCTTATTGTATCAAGAGCAGTGATCCTTTTAACTCGTTCTTTTTTTCCCCCTGATTTAATGTGCTTCTTCTCTGTCTCCGTGCGTCTCACCCTCTGTCAGGGTTCAGCCGAGCTGCCTTGCCTTTCGGGCTGGTCCGGAGGGAGCTCTCATGTGAAGGATATGCAATTGATCTCCGCTGCCCGGGGAGTGATGTCATTATGATCGAGACGGCCAACTACGGCCGGACTGACGACAAGATCTGCGATGCTGACCCGTTCCAGATGGAGAACGTCCAGTGCTACCTCCCCGACGCCTACAAGATTATATCACAAAGGTAAAAAAAAAAAAAAGACAAAACTCTGTCATGAAAGGGCGGATCTTATTTCACAAACACAACCAGGAGCTGAGGACTAAAAGTAAGGCTCTCGTTTTTTTTGTTTTTTTTCCGTTCCCCCTTCTCTCCGCGCCTGACATTCCCTCGCACAAAAGAACTGTTAAAATTATCGCCCCACTCGTGCAGCCACCTACATACCGGACAATTAATCGACATCTCACCCCTTGTTAAATGTAATTTGTTCGTCCATTGACGAGATTATGTAGGTGGCATTTGAAATTTTCGAAAACTGGGGCGCACATTAATTCTTGACAGGCAGGAATTGACATCCGTGCTGCAGAGCTCTTCAAACCAGCTGCGCGTTGTTGCCTCTGTTTGAGTCATAATCAGCGTAGCTCAGAGAACTGCGAGTCACATGAACACCCTCTTAATTCCCTATCTGGAACATTGGGCTTGCTTTGTTCAAACACTTGTAGTGCATTGAAGTGGCTTTGCCTCAGGTAGTGAGCAATGCCCATCATCATGCCTTTTATCCTGGTTACCCTCTCACAGGATGCTGCCTCTCTGTCAAATGACATCACAGCAACACTTTAGCTCCACTGCTGCTTACCCCTAGAGGAGTGTGTGTTTTTAAAGGGCACTGGATGAACTATTCATAAATAGTAACCAGCACAGTTCATCTTCTAATGCACTGCTCTGTCTTTAACCTGCCCCCTCCGTGCGCTAGCTTCTGAGCATCATCGCCCACCATCTCAGACCTCTGGGATTTTTCCCTGCTTCGCTCTCTTCTGTATTTACTCCCATGAGGGATAGATCAAATCCAGCAATCTTATTCTGTCTTTCTAAATTTACAGCACCGCCTCAGTACGCTCACATAGTAACATGCTGCTGACAGTGTCCATGCCCCTCGGTTTGACTGCAACCTGCCACACTGTGCGCCACATCTGTTGACAAGTCAGACTCTCACTCGCCGAAGCTACACTTCAAACTTATCTCAATTGAAGATTCCCTGGAGGCAGTGTGCGAGTGAAGGCTTTGAGAAGAGTCTGCACCACAAGCCCTTAACCAGAATTATTCTAATGATTCAGATCAGAGGAAATGGGCTCCTGACCGTAATTAAAGTTGATGTGATAACTGGGGATGTTAAAGCAGTCACAAAGCTTTGGCAGACACTGATCAGCCCTCCTTCAGTCTGCAGGAAACCAGAACAAGAACAACTAAGACAACATTGACACAGACTCCCCTGCCAGAATCATCAAGATTAACAAAAGGCAATAGCTCCACGGACATAAACAAACATATTAAACAAGATTGGGGAGACAGAAACAGTGGGGAGCCTGCTGCACAGAGTGGCAGTTTTTGCCGGTTTGGAAATTGCGATAGAAAGTATTCATCAACCGCCTGTTTTTCCACAACAACAACAACAACAAAAAACCAACTAACAGGAATCAAATGGCTTGACTTTCAGCATCTACATCAAAGTGTTTTGTCAAGTGAAATGTTTTGTTGTTCACGCAAAAAAGTGTTTGGATGAAAGATGCATGCAGGAACTGATGGAACCTCAGGTTTGTAGGTCACTTTAATATTCAGGTGATCATCCCCTCAGAGATGTACTGTAAATGGACGGTATGTCTGACCTTTCTCTCTGTCTGCTCTTCTCCCTCCGTATCTCAGTTGGCCACCAGCACAAATGCAAAAATACGCCTGTTTTGCTGACTTCCATTACCTTATTTCAACGGCCGCCCATTCCGTGACCTGTTACAAAATGCCCGAATAAAACTTTTACCAGATCAAAGGTGCAGCGTTTTCATAGAAAGCATGCGAGACTTCAAGGACTTTCATTAGATTGTGCTCGGTGCAATAAAGATTGCATGCAGTGATTTCAGCTGCAGTTTAAAACAGAGGAAGACTGTCAGGATGCTTAGCAACAACACATCTGCTGTTCTCCAGAGCACTAGGACTAAAACTTAAAGCTGAATAAATGCCACAGTGGGTTCATTAGTATTTATATCCTTTACTTGAAGGTACACCGATCGATATTTTGTAGTTACAATGAATCAAGCGATAATGTGCAATGTGAAGGGTTTTCTCTTGTAACGATGAACCTTTCAGAGCATCAGCCCCCAACTCTCCAGTTATCCCTCCGTTCATCTTTTAACTCCTGGCTTTGGTTTCCTGGACTGCATCAGACTCACTGCACGTCTCTGTCTGTAACCACAGGCTGTATATAAATGATGGAAGTAGCCACCATGATAGTGAAGTCCCATTATGAGGCTTTGAAATGAGCATCTTGGCCATCTTGACGTTCTTAGACCGGATCTGGATCTGACAGAGAAATCGACCATCCATTTATCTGTTCATCCATTTTCTTAACCACTTATCCAATTCAGGGTCACGGCAGAGCTGCAGCCCATCCCAGCTACAGGGTACACCCTAGACAGTCCATCATGGCCTCATTAAGAGAGTGTTTTTACTGCGGTCATAAATCAAGCGAGCAGCGGGGTCATTTCAGTACAGTTTGACCTCTTTTTGCAACTAGGAATCACCCACTACTGACCGCCCATTATCCAAAATGCAAGTTTACACGACAGCTACACTTTAGACAATGCTAAGGCACTTCCATTTTTATATACAGTCTGCATCTCCAACAAACGACTCAGTGAAACACACAAGTCCTCAGCTGGAGACCCATATAATTATAGCTGCAGGTAACAAGAGACCAAAACAGCGCTTAAAGGACACCAAATGATCTCTAATGTTTCAGCGCTTTGTGTAGTTAGGCAGGCGTTTCTGTATTTTTCTACCCTTATTTGACCAAAAAGTGGGAAAAAAACAAAAAGTGGCACCCACGCTACAGCTTTTAAGAGCAGATCGCTTTTCATTTTGAAACTCCTGCTTGTGTTTGGGTAATAAGTAGGTAGATTTTCTTACTTACTGACCCAGAAATAATGTCCACTGATTGCTGCTTTTGAGCTCTCTTAAGACCAGGAGTGCTCACCAAAAAGTGAATGCCAGCCCAAGGTTTACTCGTCTTTTACTGCTTTGCTTTGTTTTTTTTTTTGTTTTTTTTAAATCACTTTGCATTCTCTGCCTCCTCCGACAGCTGCACTCCTGTTTCCTTTGCCAGGTAGGGTTTCCAGCATCCGCTAATTCAGCTACCCGGGGAAAGTTCCTGATATTTGTGGAAAAATAAAAAGTGCTGTCCTGTTTCTGTTTTGGTTGTGCAGTCAAGCCTTTATTTCCTCTGGAAGATTTTGTACCACGTGGCAGACAGAACTCATCAAAGTGACTGTGCACGTAATGATAAGTTTTAATGATAAGCCCAATGCATGCAAGCATTGAAAATAAATGACTCACTGAAAAATGCTCACTTTCAAGGAATATGTTACTCTGCTGTGAATGTTTTTAGTGACTTGATATTGGTTACTCATCTATAGGCAACCCCTAAATACGGTAGTTTTATCTCTCTGATATACTCTTGTAAATCCTCTGAAAATAAGTACAAGCACAAAATGAATTACACAAGCAATTTACAAATACCTGCAACCATATTACTTGATTAAATATACCCTCTATCACCGGGGCTGTCGTCGGTCCGGCTCATAAACTCATAACGTAGAAGTAGATCAAATATGTTGGGGTGCATTTTAATCAAGTGTGTTGTTCTTATCTGCCGTCAGTCAGTTCACATTTTGATGCAGTGACCCTTCTCCTTTGCAGCAGCCCTCTTGAGCATTCACTGCAGTGAAGCCACAAAAGCACCTCTCCTAAGTGCAGCTGGCAGCATTAGTGTCAGTGATGTTGAAACCGTGGCCGATGATGCCGATGCTATTTGTTAACTCCTTAATGGGAGCCCCCACCCCCACACCGTATAACATTTATAATCCATTAGTTTGAAGAAAATGGCTCTTGTTGTTAAGATGCATGCTCTGTCTCTTAATGCACACACATTTACCTTTACGTTCATTAATTTGACCAGAGCCAAAAAGTGCACTGTCATGGTTTCGTGTGGTTGCCGTGCAGCACGACTCCCATTTGCAGTGACAGGAAGCTTCTCGAATGACTAATGGTTCTTTGTCCGGTCTTCAAATGTACGTCCAACTTGAATTTGTGCTTCAGACCTTCTGAAAAATTTATCTGAGGCTTGCAAATTGCTTAATGTCCTATTTTGGTGCCATTTTCTGTCTTTCTTTCTTTCTGTCTTGCTTTTTTCTGGCTCGCCTCTGTCACTGGTGACATTCTCAATCCCTCCATCTCAGCAGAGCTTGATTGAAGTGGAGCCAATTTCAGCCTATGCAGTATTTAAACAAACTCAATCCACTGCTGTTCTTTTCCTTCCCCACCTCCCCTCCTTTTCTTCTGATTTACTCGAACTTTTTCAGCACCCAGAAACATCTGCTAACATGCACGCATGCCGTCTCTGCAATCCGCACGTCAGACTCTGACTTAGGGACACCATTTCACACTGGAAGGCCTCTCATCGAAATGACGCTCTCGTGCCATGCAGAGGAGCTGCTGTTGCACTAGAGGCCAGCCATTCATGTCCACTGCATGTCACCGCCACCTGTCGCGTGTGTCTTAATGAATGTCTTCTCTTTCAATAGCGGTGCGAAGACTAATTCCTAACATGCCTTTAGCAGCTCTTTCGCTCTGTCGTTCATCACATCATGCTCATTTACTCTTCCTTAATGTTTTCATTCCTCTCTCTCTCTGTTTGCAAAGGTTTAAACTTGAGTGCATTTGTGACAGCTCCGGCTGGGATTTGATCAATTACAGTGTAGCTGTAACGATGAACTTTCTCCCCCCTCCCGGCCTCATCTTTGTTATTAATGTTATCTTTGAGGAGTGCTCTTGCTGTGGGTAGTCATGATGAAATCTCTGGTCAATCTTTTTTTCTTCTTTAGGTGCAACAACCGTACGCAGTGCGTGGTTGTCACTGGCTCTGATGTCTTTCCCGATCCATGCCCTGGCACCTACAAGTACTTAGAGGTCCAGTATGAGTGTGTTCCATATAGTAAGTACCGCTATCCAAATCTCATACTGAAATCTTACTGTGTGCAATTGAAAATGGTGTGATGTAACCGCTGTGTCTCATCATTTGCAAGTATTTTGCAGTTCGCCCTTACGGACGGTGCTCCCGCTGATGTATTTGAAACAGGATTGTAGCATTAATGACGCTAAGTTATGTTGAAATATGAAGTGTTTTGGTCATTTAAAGCTCCAGTTCACCCCAATAATGAAAAAAAATCGAAATTACATTTAATGGAATCCACCCATGCAGACCGTTTTAGACGTTTAAATCACCTTATTTGACATCCGTTTGACCCCAATTCTGGCTCTGGTTCCAAATAACTGGATTAATTAAAGGCTTTTTTTTTTTTTTTGTAATGACCATCCTGCCTTAGTCTTATTTGGGAAACATTCAAGAAGCTTTATTCCTGTTTTCACTTGACCCTGCCTGATAAAATAGCAACTCTCACTGCTGGCAGTTTGGTTAATGTTAAGTTTGCAAGAGCAAAAATGTCTTTTATGAAGCTGAGGTCCACCAGGCGTTCTCTGACAGGGTCAAACAAAATGTTACACGCAACGCACAAAAAGCAGATTTGAGTCTGGTTTCGGATCCATATATAAAGCCCCATCCCTGTCTGCAGCGGTGATGTATTTGTGCAGCACGCGGGACTGAAAAGTCGTAATTAAAGTATTTCAATAGCAAAATCTCTTTCAGGAGCAGTATTGCTGTTTGTCTGGATAAACCGCAGCGCTTACTGTCAAGAGTTATCACTGGAACTACTTTCCACTGAACAAACAGCCGTAGTAAAAGGTTCCCCCCCCACCCCCCCCTTTTTTTTTCCCCCTTTTGTAAAACTGTCTCTTTTGTATTTGGCTTCTAGCAGAAATTTCAGCAGTTTTCACGAGCAAAACAAAACACCTACAAAAAAAAATAAAATAAAATCCCAAAACTATCTGCATGAGGCGATACCATTAGGAGTGTGGAAGAAAATATGTTTACTGGTAATTTCGTTGAGCTGACCTTCCACCGATCTTAACTTGAGATTTATTGTCTTTCGCCGAGATGTTACAAATAATTGGGTACACTGGTTTTTGCTTTTGTTTTGTTTTTTGCATTCATACAGTGTGTTCAGTCATTTAATTTGAGAACACATTGAATAAGAGGCAGATTAAAAATTAAAATGAATGTGCATCTGCTCTTAGATTAAACCAGAACTCATGTATTCAGCTGTGAAGTGTCTCTAGTATTCCATTATGAAAGTGGCTTAATTAAATCGCTTGAGAGTTGGTTGGTTTGTTTCTGGTGTCTAGTTTAACTAAATCTACCTTAAGAGTGTTATAGACTAGTTTATAAAAAGTTAGTCCAGGCTTCATTTAAATCCTTCGTATTTAAATTGATGAAATGTAAACATATTCAGAAATATTCACTCTTTTTTTTTTCTTCTTCTTTCAAACAGACCTCCCTTTCACCTCCTGTCTAATCCCCCCGACTAACCTCTTTGCTCTCGATTTTTTTCTCTCCTTCCTTTCAACGTTCGATCTCTCACATATTGTCTCCAGCCTCCCCCCACCCCATTCCTCTGCCCCAGTATATGCAGCTTCGACAGCCCACTAAAGAAACTCCATATTAGGCCGAATATCCATCAGTCATCTCATGTGCTGTTGCTCTCTTTGGCTCATTTGAGAGTTTGGTCTGTAACATTAGCACCGTGTCATGTTTTACGTGTGTGGGCGAGCGAGTTTGGAAGCGAGTTTTGATTTGTGTTTATAAAGTTTGAACAAATTCCACCCGCAGTCAATACAAGCCAAAAATAATTACTGTGCTGTTTCTCTAAGAATGTTATCCATCTAAATATGAGCCGAACTTTGAGATTTCTATTCTCCTGCCACTTAGGGGGAAGCATTTTTAGAGGGATTTGCTCTGCTTTTGCAGTGGCCAGTGCATTATTTTGTTGGCAGACAAAGACGACGAAAACGAAACGTTTAATGCACTGGAAAACACGGCGCGTAGCTCGTCTCTGGTCATATAACTTGTCTGTTTTTATATCCTAGGGACGAGAGGCCGTTTTCACTAACAAACATCCTTGTTTTCTTTCCCTCCTCCAGCTCTTCCTCCCTAAGCAGCGCTGCAGTTCATCTCATGGTCATTCCCTCAGACTAATTCTTCTCTTTGTACCTGGTAGTTGACTCATGATAACCTTTCTCTCCCTTTTTCGCACTCTTTTTTTGCTTTCTTTTCCAATGCCTGAAATAGAAGTGGAGCAAAAAGGTAAATGAGTGGTCTGGTCCTTCCCTCCCCCTCCTTTGGCTCCTTGTTCTGTGGTGTTGAGTACAGCTCCCCCCTTCACGTCTTCCCCCCCCTCCTCTCCTGATTGCCTCTCCTGTCAAATGCTAAACCCATAGGAGGATTGTTTGCACCCACGGAGTCCAAATGGACACAATTTCAAATGACATCCGCGGTCATTAAACGTAGTTTTTCCCTGACAGTGTGACAGAAATCACCAACTGTCCGGTGTCGATTTGTTCCAGAACCCTGAAGAATCACTAGTTGTGTGTATATATTCTTATTTGGCTCAGTCGTAGTTTGCTTGGCCCAACTTCTGCTGCACCCATAGCACGTGATGTGAAATAGCAGTGATGGCTGAGTGAGATTGGCACAGGCTGAACAAAAAGTTTGGAAAAAAAAACCCCAGCAATTCACTGTGTTCCCTTTGTTTTTTGCTTTTTTAAAATCCAGAACCAATTAATTTAAAAGCAGCTAAACGGGAACCTTGCCATGGCCTCCCTCACCCATCAGTGGTTACTCTGTCTTTTTGCCACAGAAGTAGTGAAAATCCTTTACCACTGTTGCCTCCCCCCTCCCCTCCAACCTCCACTTTCATTTTTTACCTTCTGCTTTGCTGCCGCCACCACCACCATTAACAACCTGTTGTTCACTCCTATCGAAAGACGTGAAGCCCGTTACCCCTTATCATTTCGGTTTATGACCTCAGTCATGTGAGTATGCATGTGCAGTGTGTCCATATACCCAGCTGTTCGTGTGCCATTTGACATCACAACAGACTGGTATTTTTCGAAACAAGTTCCAATCGAAACACTGTGAACCCTACTTCTTATTTCCATTTCCCACGTCTTTCGTTTGCAGGATTTTTCCTTTTTCTTTGTGTTCTCATTTTTGTTTTGTTTTGTCCCCGTTAGGATGTATCAGCAGACCCCTGAGATGCAAGTTCTCTCAACCACACGTTTCTCATTGTGAACAATCGCTGTTGATACATGCATTTGTTTTCCTTTCTTTTTATCCCTGCTCATTAGCGGTAGTACAAAAGCACTAGTTTAAAGATTCCTCCAAAATCACAGTCCCTGATCTTTTTTGTCCTGCACTCGAGTCGCACAGCAGCGAGAATGATGCCTGTCAAATAATACTGTTTTTTTTGTTTTGTTTTTTTCTCAAAAGTATATAAATTCTTGCCTTATTTTGTTTCACTCTCTTCTCTGTCACTAGTTTTCATTTGTCCCGGGACTCTGAAGAGTATCGGCGCCGCCACCTTCCTGTTTGAAGGCGAGCAGCAGGCCGGCTCGTGGTGCAAAGACCCGCTGCAGGCCGGAGACAAAATTTTCTTCATGCCCTGGACGCCATACCGCACTGACACCCTCATCGAATACGCCTCTCTGGAGGATTTAAAAAATGGTCGCCAGACGACCACCTATAAACTGCCGCACCGTGTCGACGGGACGGGCTTCGTCGCTTATGACGGCGCCATCTTCTTTAACAAGGAGCGCACGCGCAACATCGTCAAGTTCGACCTGCGCACGCGCATCAAAAGCGGCGAGGCCATCGTTAACAATGCCAACTACCACGACACCTCTCCCTACCGCTGGGGTGGCAAGACGGACATTGACCTCGCAGTAGACGAGCGGGGCTTGTGGGTAATCTACGCCACAGAGCAGAACAATGGCCGCATAGTGGTGAGCCAGCTCAACCCGTACACGCTCCGCTTCGAAGCCACCTGGGAGACGGCTTACGACAAACGCTCTGCCTCCAACGCCTTCATGGTATGCGGCGTGCTGCACGTAGTACGCTCCACCTATGAGGAGAACGAGAGCGAGGCGAGCCGGAGCCAAATCGATTACATCTACAACACCAAGCTGAGCCAGGGCGAGTACACAGACATCCTGTTCCCCAACCAGTACCAGTACATCACTGCTGTGGATTACAACCCCAGAGACAACCAGCTGTACGTGTGGAATAACTTTTACATCCTGCGCTACGACCTGGATTTCGGGCCGCCGGATCCCGCCGAAGGTGAGAGCTGCTTCATTGTTGTTTAGTCTTTGTCTAATTCTTCTATTGTTTGGCTGCAGTGTGGGATGTCACAGATGGCTGCCTTTTAATTTTGGATGCAAGTCAGGTGTGATATATAAAAAAATAAATTAAAAAAAAAAAAAGTGTTGCATTAGTCTTGGGGAAAGGGCTCATTTGCAGACAGAAATTACACATTCACCTTGGAATGAGGGATAGCTCCCAGTGGGGGTTGCATCGCAACCAAAAAAACAGCTCCTTTATTACCATGAGGCAAGCCGAGGCACTCCTTCCAGCTGAAGTTTGGACCCTATCAAATTCTTTAATCTCGGGCCTTATCCAAAACCATTATGAACACGGCCCTCCTGAACTCGCCTCTATTGCTGGGAATATGCTTGAGAGGTATTGTGCACAGTACGACACAGGTTATCCTCTCCCTCTTTACCTCGGGTTTTCAATTTGTTGCCATGGTTACCTCATCAACTTCACAGAGGCCATTTTTGCAACAGATCAGAAGATAATCGCTACCCTATTGTGGGATAATATTTTTAAAAATCGCCAGACTGAGGTGTGGGAGACTTATGTACCACTCGGTGAATCACGAGCAGGAGAGTGGCTGGAAAGCGATTACGCCGAAGAATCTCGTCTCGGGGGCTGTGGGGTGGGGAGGTGGGGGGGCTTAAATTAATCTGTGAAGTGCTGAGAGGCGACATACGTGTCACCACACTGTGGCCTTACATCCAGCTGATAATGGGTTTAATTGCCTGACTGCTGCCATCTTATCCCATAAAGCTCGGCTTCTCTAAGTCTTCTGTATGAAGTGTGGAAAACAAGAATCTTAACCTGACTCGACGATACGTTAGAAGCTCAGGTTGCCCTCAGGCAGTGGTCCGGATTAGGTTATGATTTTTTAACTTCTGGATATTCGGGAGGGGCTACGCACAGCGGTGGGGGAAATCTGATTCCTGACCTGAGCTGTTGAAAAGTGGCGAGGGGGGTAGGGTGGGGGCGGTTTGCCGCTGACGTCTCAATGGAGGCTGTGTGCTCCTGAACTCTGGCCTCTTGTCAACACGTCTGTTTGTTTTCCCGCTGTTCCCTGGAATCTCCCCCGGCATGATAACTCGACACCCAAGGGAGGCTCCGGGTTTGTGTCTGAGTCGCGGAACAACCAAAGCCTCAATTAAGAGTATGTTGGAGAAGATATGAAAAATACTCCCAACTTTAATGAGTTCGTCATGCATGCAAACTGCCTGCTCAACTCCTCACGTCCTGATGTATATAAATGTAATTAACAACTGAATTATCATAATTACCCTCCTTGTCTCAAAAGGAGTCTTGGGGAGAGGAGAAAAGTGGCCATCACAGAGCATTTTCAATGAAGGGCCTAATGTGCTCCCTCAGCTACTGCAATGGCTCGGTAAACATAAATGCCACTGAAGCCTGGTGTTGCCACTTGCTGCAGCAACAGTGCATTTAATCAAGAAACCCCAAAGAACATAGCTGTTGATTTCACTCATTATTCGAAGTGCGGGCTTCCTGCCACTGTTCCGTTATTGGGATCCAATCAGAAATGTGTCTTTGCAGCAGAACTTGTCAGTGTGGTTCATTAAGTGCGCCTTATGAGAACATTATGAAATGTTGCGAGCTCGAGTAGGAGAGAGGAGGCATCTGTAGATGCCAAGGCCAGCAGCAGCAGCAGCAGCATGCCAGATCCCGTGAATGGCACTTGAAAATAATTGGTTCTTGTTTATTAGGTTTTTTTCAGATTTACACCTTTAACTTCTTTACTGTGTAGCTATTAGGATTTATTGCTGCCCATGATATGCCGTTGAATTAAACAACCTATTCTGCAGGGTAATCTAATGGTGCTGAAATAATGTCTCTCTCTCTCTCTCTCTGAAACTGTGGGGCACTTGAGGCGTAAAGGAAATTAATTGTGCCCATTAAGATTCATCGACCACAGAGTGAAGTTACCTCGAACACCAAACCCAATGTATCTCTCTCCTTTTTAGAGCTCGTGTAATACAATGAACGTCGGTGTCCTTTTCTGTCAGAGGCATCAACCTTGGCCGTAGTGCTCATCCTACAGAGGCGCTGAAACGCTAGCAGGATTAGGGGTTTATATTAAGTTTTTTTGGGTTTTTTTTAGCAAACTGATCAAAGCAGAAAATAATTGACCTTAGCAACTTGTCTATATTTCCTTTACCTTGTGTAGTGTTGGTAACAGTGCAGGTTTCTTAATTCGGGTGGTATTGAGGTGATTAGCTCGGATCATTCCCCAAATCGATCGCTCTCGCCTATTGCTCTAAATAATTTGCGCAAGTTTAGAGGAAACTTCTATGCTCTGCTAATGCGTTGAGAACACGAAAAGCTCTGGTCAATATCTGGAGAGTCTACCTTCTCAGTGCCCGTAGTTACAGAACCAAGAGGGACAGCGGTAATGTATTCTCTGTGATGTGCAGAGACATTAGCTGATTTCAGTCCGAACAGCTCAGAAGCCAATCAAAAGGACCAGTAATTGCAGAAAGCTTTTCATGCGAACAAGGAGAGAAAACAGAAAATTAATTTGTCTTTTAGGTAGCATCGATTTGAGGTCTTAAAGACAAGAGGCATAAAATTATTGGCTTTATCCGAAACGCTTAGCTCCTTGGAATAGCATGGTAGCAGTGAGCAATAAGTGGGCTCTCTGCTAAATTACAAAACAATTATTATCATATCCTGCATGCGGCGCATATCTGTCGGCTAAATCCAGCTGTGCGCCATGCTGCACTTTGGTTTGCTTTCATATCTCAGAACGACGCCTCCAGGTGTGCCTTCAAGACGGAGGACATTTATAGATGTGTCATGCACTAAGCCTGTGTTCCACCCTCTGATGCATGATGTTTGGCAACAGAAATAGGGGCTCCAGAGAATGAGTTGGGGATTTGGAACAGCTCTAATTGTTCTGCTTGGTGGATTATGACAGGAAAACTTTTTTCAGTGGACCTTATAGGCCTATATGACAGAGGGTTTTGGGGTGTTTTGCTCAGAGTGTATTTCTGTCTGCGCATATATCTTCCTGTCTGCATGCATGTGTCTGTATTGTGAGCCGCTCTGCCATCCTTCTGACTCAGACTGTCAGGTTGTGACTGTGCTATGTCTGCTGCTCCACGGTATTCAGTTTCAGGCCTCATAAATTACCCCACACAGACATAGGATATGTCGGGCAGAGCCTTTTTCTGTCTGCTGCTCTTTAAAGAATAAGTGTCAATAAAGCAGTCAGCCCTGCAACAATTTCATAATAACTCCAGTTTTTGTACTTTTAGGAGGAATAATGACATGAACTTTGGCATCGGATCAGAAAGTACACATGGATTGTTTTGCGGTTTTTTTGTACCCTGCATGCCAAGCTCAAGTCACGAAAGCTTGAATCAGGCAGAAGAGCATTAGTGCATATAAACAGCCTAATGCAAAATTCATGACTTCTGGGATTTGTTTCTGTCATTAATTACCAGCAGTGGCTTTAGGTAAAGAGGCAAAAAACCAACTGTAGCTTCTGCGTGGCTCTTTTCCTCCCCCTCGCTGTGGAGTCAGGCCAATCAAACCACACATGGATACACGAGGACCCCCACATGGAGTCACGGTGGGCTAAGCTACCAGCTGCTGGCTGCAGTCTTATTTTTACCCATCAGACTGTACATTATTTACCGTACTTCCTTCTTCCATTCATTACAAATCTATCAACTCGTATAGCTCCGAAAAGGAATCCTGGTAATGCAAGGATGATTTCTAACCGATGGCAATGATTTCCTTTCAGCTGTGTGGGTCTGTTTGTTCGTCTACTGTGAGGATTAGCCTTGTAAGTGATTCAGCTTCAAAACTGAAAGCAATTAAAACAGCTTGATTTGACTGCAGCTGTCATTGCTTTTCCCTTAATAGCAAGTATTAGGCAGCTTATGATGCATTTATTCTGGTGTCTATCTGGACAGGTACATAGTTTTTACTGCTCTCGCTCGATGTGTGTAATTTGATATGGAAAAAAAACCAAAAACCCAAAAACACGCTGTTTTAGTACAGCCGTGTCAGCTATAAAAGCAAGGACAAACAGAGTGTCTAGACCTCTGATCATCTGATTATGGTTTAATATTTTTTGTCATCTTCCTCTCGGATACGTAAATGACTCTGGGGGGCTATAAAGTGATAAAACTAATTCTGTTCCATCTCCAGTGTCTTGATGGATGATCTTGCATAATGGTTTTCCTTCCTTTTAGCTCTGTTTTAATTTACACACTCTGTTTTGACACTGGTGACAGTCATTTTTCAAGCATTCAATCTCAAACTCTTCCATTATTTACAAGAGGTATTATTCACCATATGTCAACAGTATGCCTTTGGTGTCAGATTGCCCATAAAGAGCGACTTCGCTGCCTCTCGAGAGAAATGGTAGCTAATTGGTGCAGCCCTCTCTTGGTTGAGTGCTATCAGAGGACACAGGGCTCTTACTGGAGGGGAATTTGCTCTTTGCAATCAAAGGAAAATTGTAGCGAGCATGGTGCACAGACATCAAAATAACCCCTCAGATGCATCGACATCTGATAAGCACATTACTGGATGTACTACTGAATAGATATTTGATGTTCTTGGTGTTATTCTCAGTCACATTGTGATATGAAACCCAAGGCATGATGACTATAAGCAGCTACAAAGATGGTATCACGTCTTTGATTAGAATAAAAATCGCTCTTGACATCAGAGTACCACTCCTAATTACAGTGATACGAGTCCATGACTCTCCCTGACAGTCTCTTACAAGAGACAATGACCATCTAATAGTAAATGATGTATATGATCTAATAGTATGAAAAATATTTAGGGATGCCGGCTGCTATAGAGCTGTCGAAATTTGCACCCTGTGCCTGGATAATCAATTTAAAATGCACATGAACATAAACAAATATGACGACCCACAAACTCTGAATCCTTTTTTTATAATTTCTCAACGTTACAGATGTGCTGATCTTCTCTTTTTTTAAAAACCTTGGGCATTTTTCTTTTATATTAGGGAAGCTATAAGCAATTTAATCACTAATAAGAATAATCAAGTTACAGCTCTGTGTTGGAATACTGAACTGGGAATGCTTTATTGTTATGCGAGGGTTTAAACTCATATATTTGAAATGGCATTGTGTGATGAGTCATATAATCAATTAAGTGATTAACAGAAATAAGTCTGAAGCACTTATTATTAAATATTCATGACTAAATGAGTATTTGTATTGAATTTTTGCACATTTAAATCTCAGCTAGTCTGCTTCAGACTGTGTTGGAGCTAATTGATTGTGTTTGATTTGTTACAAAATCTGATTGGCATTAATTTAAAAAAAGTTATGTTAAAATATGGTAAAAATGCTAAAATAAAATAGTATTAAATAAATAATTGACCTGTTTTGGTTCACGATGTGAATACGTAAAAGCATCGGAGCCATCAGTTTGAATACATAACATTTAATCACATCTTAAAGCTTAACCATTGCTTAAAATAATCATTGACAGATTAATTCTGTCAATGATTTTCTCCTAACCTCATCATAGTTTTTCCTTTTTTTTTTTTTTGCTGCAGATCTAAATTGATTAAATCATACAATTGAAAACAAACAACGTTTATGAAAATGGAAAACAAACAGAATATAAATACCGAAAAGCAAACTAAATAGTTCTCAGTACAGGGTAATAAGTTTGGTGCTTTGGTCTCTTGAGTTGGAGAAACAGCGTCTCAGGAGCAGGTTAATCAGGTGAAGCAAGCATGCTGTTACAGCCAGATGCATATTAGAGCTTATATCAGCCTGTGGAAAAGCACAAGTTTGCTCAGGTATGGAGAGGTTTAATATTCTGAAACCTAATTACACTTGCCCTTGTATTGCATTATATGCGTATATTGAATCAACCAAGTCAGCCTATGAATCATCTCACTTCTCCTGAGTCAATAAAAAATCCTCATCTGCAATATATAATATATTTGAAACACCATTTTTTTTGTTTTGTTTTGTTGTTGTTTTTTTCTGTAGCATTGTTTTTTATTATTATCTGATAGCCTCAAAGTTATTTATCTGTAAAGGAATAAATAAAAGTTTTTATTTATTTACGTAAACAAAGTCTGTTTAATGCATCTTCCCAAAAGGTAGAGAAGGGGGGGGGGGGAAATCGGATGTCTGGCCACTTTTCTTTTTGATTGCTTTGGTATGTTTTGGCCGTCATTTTTTAGCTTATTCTGCACATTGTCCTGTCTTTGGGTGATAACTGAAGGCTATGCTAACTGCTAACTGCACCTTAGCTGATGGTTGTGCATGTGCAGGTGTCAAACACACCAGGACCAAATGAGTGTAAGGTAATTACCCAGAGCTCCTGTCTGGAGGAAAGGTCATTGAGAGAATTGTCACAATTCCGGCACAAATGAGTAACACCCCACTCCACCCACCGTCACACTAATGCTTTTCTCCACTCCCTGCATCACCACATATAACTTATTTAATATATTAAAAAAAAATTTTGTCCAGTGAAAACGTACATATTCACCTGTCTGGCTGATTAAAGTGGAGACAGTCACCATTCTCAGGAAATGGAGAAATGTGTCTGATGATGGACTGTCAGACAGGATGATATTGCGTTTTCCCATCAGCTCCCAGGGAAACTGAAGACAACCCTATGGTGCCTTTCACAGCGGCAGACCTCATTTTGGGAATCTGCTTTTATCTCAAAATACAATCAAGTGGTTGTGGGCAGAAATGTATGATCATTCATGCAGGAGACAAGTAGCCTAGTATATACACGTAGACCTGTGCACATACACACAATGTGTTTTCCTTTTATTCTTATTGGCTATTCATACTGTATAAAATTTATAGATTTCCCATTTCTGAACCCATTTCCCAGTTATCTCCAGGCTCTGTGCAGCAGATATCCATCTGTGTGCACACAGTGGTTTTAAGCAGAGACACACCTGACTAATCGAGCAAACACAAGCACACGTGCACACGTGCACATTCACGCAAAGATTTGCTTCGCAGGGTAACCGTGGACTGAATACAGTGGAATCGCATTATTGCTGATGTATGGTTTTTGCCCAGAGCAGTGCAATTCTCCTTCCGCACACCAGCTTTATCTGAGTGAAAGAGAGATGAACAAGGCAGAAAAAAGGTAAAATGCAGACAGGCTTTGTCTTCATTGTTGATATTTAATCAGTCCAAGGTACTGACTCTGCTGGGAAGAAACTGCTATGTCAAAGGATGCCTGACTGCCATTGCCTTTTTGTTGTTGTTATTTATGGGCTTAAGTAAAGTATAAAATAGTAAGTGATACTGTTGTGTTTGCATGTTTATCTTGATTTCTTTTAGTAAATGAGCTGGGGGGGGGAGAAAGTGGAAATAAAGAGTGAAAGCCGCACAATGCTTTTATTTCCAGATAATATGGGAAGCAGTAACTCTAGTAATACCAACAAACCATGAGGCTCAAAGCAGATGCAGTCCCCCCCACTGCGAGAAACAGCAGGGGTTCAAGGCGAGGACGTTTATGTCTCGAGCTCTAACAGTGTCACTGCTCTCTCCCTCCCTCTCTCTGTCTCTAGTGCCAACCACCGAAGACGCCTCTGTCTCGTCTGCCATGCCTAAGACCACAACAATTACCACCACCACTGCCGTGTCCACTGTGAAGGGGCGCGGTGACACCACAGTGGCAGGAGCAGATCCAAGAGATGGCAGAGATCCGTTTGAGGACAGCCGAGGCTCGAGTACCGCTGAGCCCACTATCCCAGAGCTGCCTCCAACACCCAGACGCTTCTGCGAGGCGACTAGGAGGAGAGCCATTGACTGGCCCCAGACCCACACTGGGACTACTGTGGAGAGGCCCTGCCCCAAGGGGACCAGAGGTATTTCCACCACTTTTCTTGAAACATGAAAATTCAACATTTTGTCTACTGTGTGCCTGCTAGAGGTAGACGTTCTTTTTCTTTTTCTGTAAAAGTATTCCACTGAAACTTTTAGCAGCCCTGTGACCATAGGGTTTTAACAGAGGAACAGTCTGACATTTAAAGAAATACTAATTCACCCTCTGAAGTGTGGACAAGAAAACCATTACCACTCTGTGTGTGTGTGTGTGTGTGTCTGTGTGTGTGTGTGTGTGTGTGTGTGTGTGTCTATATACAGTCCTCATAGGCATGAATGTTGCTGTAATTCTGGGCTTTTAGTTATTTCTTTATACTGTTGTTTTTCCTGGGTGCAGTGACTATACAGCATACACTTTTAACAAGTTAAGAAAAAAACAAGACAAGACAGTTCAAAAAGTTTGAATTTATTTTGGATTTTCCTAATCCACAAAGGGTCAAAAATATACATGCATTTACAGTTTTTGATGCTTAAAGTTCTACAATATATTTTAACTTGACAAAACCAAGGTCTAGTAACTTCTTGTAAGTGATCATAATTGATTACAACTTGTAATTTCTCTTTGCCAGCATCAAAAGGATTTGTTTAGCAGCACTAATTGGATTAATCAATATCAAAGCACTGGGAAAGAGTTTTAGATTTATATAAGTTTGGAAGGTGTCTTGGAACCAGCCAGTGTACTGCTATAGTTCCAGCTCCAGGCCTGGATAACTGGGGAGAGCTGCGTCAGGAAGGGTACCTGGCGTAAAGTCTTGGCCAACTCAAATATGCAGGACAACTGCAGATTAGAAAACTGCAGGTTCAAACTATTGTATACAACTATGAGTTATTAGGATGTTTCACCACCTTTGTAAGAGGAAATTGGTTAGGATGTTCAAAAACAAACCAGTAACCACAAAGGCTCAAGCCTGCCATGAACTGGAAACTGATTAAACACCGGCTGATGGAAGCCCCAGCTCCAGAATTAACACTTTCAAGCTTCACAAAAGCCAAATGTCTTGTGGAAGGAGGGTGGTGAAACTTGATGGGTGAAAATTGGACTATTGTGTGTTCGTGAAAGGCAATGATCCCAAACGCACATCAAAGTTGGTTTTTGAATGGATAAAGCGAGCTAACATCAAGCTTTTGAATGACCTTTCAAAAGCCCTGACCTCAGCCCTGTTCTGGACTAGACTTAACCTCCTAAGACCCAAACTCTTTCATGGCATGCAATTTTAATTTCTCTATGCTATTTGGGCTGATTGGAACCTGATGAATGTAAAAACAAAGAATTACCGTAATTTTTTTTTTTTTTTTTTTACCTGATTTTTGTTTCTGAGAAAAATAAGATCCACATATGAAGACATTTGTTTTAAATTTTGAGAGAACAGTGACAGTATAATGTCCTCGTACGTGGATATAAGGCCCCTGTAGAACAAAATTTTGAATTTTGGTCTAAACAACCCAAAATGTGATGTCCACATATGTGGACGCCAAGTCCTAGGGCGTTACAGCTGGGTCGGTGCCAGGGAATTAACCAATTTAAATCAACTCTACCAAGAAGAGTAGTCAAATATTCAGCCAGAATTATGCCAGAAACCTGTTAATTGCATTTTGTCAATGTGCAGCTAGCTAAGGGACAGTTGACCAAATATTAGTGGGGGTATACAGTATGTATATATTTGAGCTTGTGTGCATGATTGTAATCTTGTATGCATTACAGAAAATCCAAAATAAATGAAACTGTCATCTCTTATCTTATCTGAAGAACTAAGTATAGAGCAAGAGCTAGGCGCTTATTAGCTTAGCTTAAACTGGAAACAGTGCTAAGCTTACTACCGTAGCCTAAAGATGTCTCGTATTGCCTCTAAAGTTTAATAATCAACATTTTATATTTTGTTTTATTTAAGACATATACTGCTGGTGTTGTGAAAAATGTGTGTTTTCTTCTGTTATGACTTCTTACAAAAATCATTTGGTAATTTTAAGCTAGCTTTTTTTCTGCCTATCAATTTGTCCGAGTTTAAGCTAAGCTAAAGTAATTGTTTCTAGGGTTTAGATCTATTTTTATGACACGTCTAAAGATATGTATTAACAATTACATTTTGACATTAATGGTGTCTAACATTCACCATAAAGACAAAAAGATATTTGAACACAAATGTGAAAATATTCATTTAAATGGTCAATTAAAACAATGGCACAGGAACAATACACAATATTTTCATATATTAAAATATACATTTCTCTGACAGTTTGCAAAAGTTTACAGCTTACAGAAATACTGTTTCTGTTGAAACACTAATTCATAAATGTTTATTTTACGTCTTATTCCAACTGCTTTGAATTTCCTTAATTGGTCCTTACTCTCTTGGAGGTTAGTGCCAAATAATTAGTGCCATTAACAATCAGGTATAAACCAAACCTCAGAATGATCACAAATCACAGTTTAGCAAAAAAAAGCAAAGCTCCCAATTAAACATGTTAAAATTGCAGAGTTATTTAGCTGTACTTATTTAGGTCTCGCTTCCATCTTGGTTTACTTGTCTTTTTTTTTTTTTTTTGTAAAACTTCATAAAATGGACATGTCAGTCTAAAAATGTATTATAGCATGATTTGAGCCTTTTTGACAAAAATAAGATTTCGAAATGTACCTAGTTACTGTAATTTTGAAGCCCATTTCTCCTTGAAAGGAAATCACACAGAGGGGGGAAAAACTATCTGTAACAGACCAAAAGTAAAAGTAAAAAAGATGTTGGACTGCTTCTATTAGATAGCCAGATTAAAAATCCTCCTACAAATGAAGAAACTTGGCCATTAATTTTGCAGGTGATCATCTGCCGTAATCTCACAAAATCCATCTAAACATCCCGTTGCAAAGATTGGCAACTGAAAAGACTCAAAAGAAAGTGGGAAAGGAGATGATATTGAGAAAGGAAAAAGATTTAGCTTTTACTAGTCAAGCTGCATGTTATCTGGAGGATTCATGTTTTATTTGTACATGCATAGCAAAAGGTCTTTAAAATATTTGTTTACGATCAATAACAAACCACTGCGTCCACCTTTTCTTTTTTTCTGTGTATTTTCCCCCAAGCTTTGTAGAACTCTAATAGTCTTTTAGTGTCCTTTCTGTACTTTTTTGTCATACAGACAGTCTACAAAGCTTTTAGGTTTTCAATCATTTAGAAATCTTTGTTCCGGGTGAAGAGTCTGCATGAATGAAGGATAAGCAGGAGAAACTGTATCTGAGCAACATTCTGGCTCCCCTCCAACTGTTGTTTTTATTCTGTGGTACTGCAGGCATCGCCTCTTTCCTCTGCACCATGGCAGGGACATGGTGCTCCAAAGGGCCAGACCTCAGCAACTGCACCTCCCACTGGGTGACTCAAGTGGCACAAAAGGTAAAAGGAGAATTTGTCGATCACAAAAATATAGCAGCAAACAACCACGTAAAATGGCTGCGATCCAACATACAGCGGTAATTTCTGACCTCGTTCCCTAGCTTGGTTTATTTTTCCAGCACAGAACTTTTCAAGTGTACACGAAACTTTCAAGGGTAACTAAAATGCTGTTTGGCAGCAGAAAGAAATGAGCTAAAGCATCAGGAGTAAATGCCAAGAACTGCAGTCTGTTAGTGAGAATCAAAGAGCCACGGTTTCTTTCTGCGGTGACATTTATGCTTTGATGTCATGCAGGTAGAAATGTAATGTAGATGTGCAGATAACAGTTGCTTAGATGCACAGGAATGTAAAACATAGCAAACCCTAAAGAAGAGATTATTGTTTCTCTTGAAAAAATAAAAACACCTACAGAATGCTGCAGGTTCAGGCAGGGTTTCAGTCTATTGTTGAAAGACATCTTGGCTAATGAACAGCTGTGTGTTTAAAAAATCAAAAACAAAAAAACAGTAAGTGAAAAAGTGTTGGATACGCTCAGTTTTTACGCTAGAAACACAGCAAAATGAAGTGTAATAGAGAAAGTATGCACACTGCATTAAAACTGGGGTATGCAATATGTTTTTGGCATCACTGGACTAAAATCCATAATTACCTTTCAGCATACTCCAGTTTAGAGAGGGAGCTAGACTCATGTTCCTCATCTGTGTGGAGTCTTTGGAGGCCTCATTGGATGAGGAATACTAAGCAGTTACAAATGGAAGTCAAATGCAGAGGTGTAATAGGCTTTAAAAAGGAAGAAAAGAGGAATTTCAGCTGGGAAAGTGAGGTCCGAATCCCGTGTTTGGACAAAAGTTAGCAACACTTACAGTTTCTGCTTCTTCCAGAATTTTCGTCATTCAAGTTTTAATGCAACATATTTTTGCATATTTTTAGAAGCATTCAGTTAACAGTATTTTCCCTCAAAGTAACGCACAGAGATAGGAAAAAAAAAACCCAACAAAACATTTTGCATCTTACGCACTGTTGCCAAGTCGAAAAACTCGCACAACTCCATTACTCTCAGGCGATTATACACACTGCTAGCCTTGCTATGACATATAATAAGCAGGAGCTTTAGTTATCTGTTCTAAGCTTTGCATATTTGCTCATTAAAAAGTGAAACTAATATGAACAGCGTTTAATTGGCTGAATTGGCTGTATAAGTCCTGATGTTAGATTTTATTAAGATATAATTGCCAGCGATGGTGGGCCTTAGAGCTGCAATGCTTCTGGTTTGTTGACACCACTGTAGTACTTTTTAGTAAGTGGGGAGATATTGTAATGTAGCTACAAGATACTTCTGATAGCCCTGAATTATTTTTTTGGAGGCTGAATGGCTCAAGGATTAATGGTATGTTGGTTTTGCATTAGCTTCCTCTATTTGAAGTTTAATTGGCGGCGGCACTTCAAAGTCACATTTTGATTGATGTCGTTGTTGCCGCATTTTAGTGCAAAAAATTGATTCGTTTGTGACAAAAGACACCTTGAACATTTTATATAAAATATGTACACAGTATTGTAGTGGTTCTCTGTTTGGAGAGAGTACTGCTGTGCATTTCATACAGTCACCATGAGTGCATTCCGTCTGCACACAAAGACAAATTCCTTCTAGACTTGCTGTGAATTTTCAGATGTGTGTGAGAGATATTAGTCCAGGTTCATATTGCATGACTCTGATCTGAGCGCTGCATCACTGACACTTTACTGACACCCCCGTGTTTCTCCCCGTGGTTGTGATTTTTTTTTTTTTTTTTTTTTTTTTTAGATCCGAAGCGGCGAAAACGCTGCAAATTTAGCCAATGAGCTGGCACGTCACACACAGGGCCCGGTGTTTGCCGGCGACGTCAGCTCATCGGTGCGCCTGATGGAGCAGCTCGTGGACATCCTCGATGCTCAGCTGCAGGAGCTCAAGCCCAACGAGAAGGACTCAGCTGGACGCAGCTTCAACAAGGTGCTGTGAAAATCCTCCCTGGCCCTTTCCTTTTCTGACCTCTCGTTAAACGTTGTCCCTGTTTTGCCCCGGTTCTGTGTCAGCATGACTCAGGACATTCATTAGCAAAACACACACACAGATGCACACAAGCCGCTCTGCGCTTTTCTTACATGCACGTATGCATCATCCAAACACACGCAGTCTGAGGTGAGGGGGCTAGGGAGGCAGGTCTAACCCTGCGGGGGAAGCTCATTCCTCTAGAGTTCCTTGGTAATTACCAGCGTTGGAAAACACAGGCTCACCTGGCAGCTCCACCTTTAAGGAGCTAATGGCCACGAGCCCCCAACCAGCACAAAGAATAACTCTTCATTGCTGACAAGTGTGGAGGTGCCCCCTCCTGGAGCTCATGCAGGTGCTCAGTGGAAAGAAAGCAGGCCTGAGACAAAACTACATCTCGTAGCTGCTGGCAGTCCCGTGGCGATTTGAGTGACAGTTTTGAAAAATTACATTGTTATTCAGACTTTGGAGCAGTTGCTGTGTAAACAAAGTGATTTTGAACAAAAAAACCCCAAAACAACCAAAAATGACGCCCATTGTTTGCGCCCATGTGTTCAGACAGCTGCACCGCTATTATTTGAAGATAAGAGCTAACAGGTTTCTTACTGCAATGCCAATATTGTTGCGGTGATTGGAACAATTCAAAGGCAACAACAACAACAACATTCAACTTAAAACTACTTGAAAATTGTGACATCCTGTCACAGAGCTGTTGTTTGTACCTGCAGTTCTGCAGCTGCAATGAAACACACTTTCACTCTCGAGCACACCAGGGGTGAATCTGACAGAGAAATACTACTACCGTGCCTGATTTTAAAGTCACTCTTTAAACAGCCTGCTTGGAATTGTGAATATAATAATTTAGTTATCCTTCCTTTGATCTCGTTGCGCTTCTCCACCAACAGTTTCCCCCCGTCTGAGCACTTCAGCCATGCACACATGTATTTGCAAGACCAAGAAAGCTCAAAATCAAGATCTTTTTTAAATTCCTTGCCCTGATTTATAGAATCTGGCTTTCTTATGATTAAAGAAATCAGGTTAATGCAGAAGGCAGACTGAAACCTGTCTGCCAAATGATTTCCATGCCATCCTGGAATAAATAGACACCAATGGGTGCCAGTAAAAGAAGAAAAAAAAAGAAGCCTGAACATCTGAGCCTACACACATGGGTTTGAAAATGTTTAGAAGAAATGTATTGCATACATGATTTGCATTCAAGAAAGCTGAACTGAGAACACCCCCCAACAAAAACAGAACGCGGTGCTTTCAGCTTCACGCAGCCCTTTCCTCCAAATAAACAAGTAAATGCCGGCGTCCACGGGCGCAATCTGGACTGCGTTGAAGAACCATTTCTGGTTTCCTGTGTGTGCTTTTTTTTTTTTTCCTTTAAGTATGGTTGTAATTTGGACACAAGGAACATTTTTATCTCTTTGTTTCCAAATTCTGATGCAACGATATGTGAGTTTCTCTGGTTTGACTCAATTAGGAAGAGACACCAACTTATTTAAAGCCAAGAGCCTAACAAAGGGGTTTTAAAGAGAGCTAGCGCTGTATTATTTTCTCCATGACAAGAAATACAAATGACCTCATCCCACATTGTTTGTCTTCCGAATGTATTTTAAAGCATCACTAATGGGGAAGCTTCAGAATCTGGTCTCAGCGTTTTTTCCTCACTGCTGCTTTGCGTTTCTCGTCTCTCTCCCCTCACTTTGACTTGATCCAAATTTATACTTAGTATTCAAACACAGCTCCCCTGAAAAGCACTTATTACTCTTTGGGTTATAGTTAATAGACCTGTGCCTTTTCTTCTTTTCATTAACTCTGTAATTGATGGTAAGTGGCATGATTTAATGCTTCCTGTTTTCTTACCTCCTCTTTCTTCAATCCGTTTCTTGCACTTGATCGTCTGGTTGTGCGGAAAAGCTTCAAAAAAGGGAGAAGACATGCAGAGCGTACATGAAGGTATAACTGCCAGGCTTTCTGCATTCATTTTTCACCCCGATCCCTAACGTCTGACTTGCAGCATGCCGCACTGTCTGTCTTTATGTCTTTGATTATTTTGTTACAGCGTGTGCCTGCTGATGTGTTTGTACAAAATGCGGCCACTTCCTCAGATTCGGCTGTCTGCTGCCCTGTCATTCTGTCCATCTGAGGATGCCGCCATCCATATTCTTCTTCACTCGTAAATCTTCCCCTCGTTTTTTCTTTTAAACTTTCTCCTCCTCCTCTGCCTCCGCCACTCTTTTTTTTGCCTCCCTCCATCTCTTCTGTTGTCGGCTCTTTACACGTCGTGTGAATAATTGCCTTCCCACGGTTGTAATTGCACCTCCCTGTCAGGCAGAAGTGTGATCAAAGTGGCAATGTGCTCAATTTTCACTTGCTTATATTGTACAAATTCTACTGTCGCCATTGCAAATAATAAGAATAATAAAATTTAAAAAAACAAAACAAAAAAAAAACCTCTTGGCCCCTTTTTGATTTATCTGTGGGATTAATTTCCAACCCCATTAAATATGTTTGTGTTCCAGTCTGATCTTTGCAGGCTGTCCACCAGACATTTTACTTAGTGGAGTGCAGTACTGTTTATTTTCCCGGGCTTGGGTCTGCTGGAAGACAAGGCCGTGATGTAGACACATGGGAGAAGATGCACTGCATGGTGTTTAGATTTTGTGTCAGTGGTGGATTGACACAAATATTCATGGTGCCCAGTGGTTGTATCCCAGACTCTAGCTTTGCTGGAAGTACAATGGTTTGTAAAGATGGGCCTCTCCTTATGCAGTTCCTCCCATACACCTCCTGCCTGTATTTGGTTTAGATTTAGCAGCTTGAAAGTATGCATTATTATGGTCTGTTCTCCCCATATACTCGAATATCCTCCTCCAAAAGTTAAAGCAGCCCCAGCCTCCCAGAGTTAACAATCCAAAATGGCGGCAGTGAACATAAACAGTAGTAAAACCTTTAATCAGCACTTCCACTGTTGTGTATTTATGACTTACTGAACGAACAAGCCAGTTGCAGACCAGGCTCTGTCCATGAATCTGCTGCAGCGGTGTTTTTAAGCATAAAAAAAGTGTTATATTGTGTTGCTAGTGGTACTTGAATCACCTGTTGTTGTTGTTGTTGTTGTTGTTTTAGTTTTCACTTTTTCTGGAATGCGCTAAGTCGTCCCAATTCCAGAAATCTGAGTTCAGAGGTACCTGGAATTAGTTAGTAGGAGATCCTGTGACTGAAACACTGAACATTGCTGCTGAAGAAAACTTCTGAATACAAGGAGGATCATTTTTGTTCTCAGCAGATGTATTTTGCAGGTATAGAGAACAGAGATATTGAGAAATCATCAAGTCTGTACCTTAGAAAATGTACAGCGATTGGACTTGGGATAACGCAGGGCTGTAGCTCTGGAGGTAGAGAGGGTCATCTAAACAGAAACTTTGTGGTTCTATCCCTGGTTGCTCCAATCTCCTGTCTGCATGCCAAAGTATCCTCGGCCAAGATACTGAACCTCAAGTTGTTGCATTCATTGAAGTATAAATATGTGAGAACGTTAGATAGAAAGCACCTGAGTGTAGAAAAAAGTGCTTGTGTTAATGGGCGAATGAGGCATTGTAGAGTAGAAAAGCCTTTTATGCAAGAATTTACTATTTAATTGAGCAACATGCTGTATAAATGCTGGTTTTTGAAGCATTTTGTTTTTTTCCATAATTGTGTCACAGACACTTCTGACCATGTTTGGCCCCGTACAGATTTTTCTTTGGGCCCTTACCACCATGTCGTCCCCTGGGCTGTGCTGACAAACTACTCTGTAAGAAACTCTCTGCCAAACAAATAGTTTCACAGTTGACGTCAGGAGGTTTGCAAGCATTTTCCACAAATGACAAGAGAGAAGGGCAGGAAATAAAAGCAGTATATTGCAACATCTGTCCACCTTTATCTAAACACAGTGAATATGTACATGCTGTGTAAAGCCGGGGGGGAGTACTTGATAGTGATGTTGACTGGTCCCCTCTACCTTCTGGGCCCTGGGGCATTGAACCGGCTGCACTGTTATAAGTTGTGTTTCTGGTTTTTCATTAAATATCTTAAAACCAAAGTCTGAGCTCTGTGCACAAGCCTCATGCTAATGAAAGATGAGGAACCTACAACTAACTCCTAAATATCCAGAACCTAACATTGCCATATTTAGCACATTGGCATCCCGGCATTAGCAATTAGCTTAAAGCTAATGTGGCTGTTATTTTATTTTTCAGTGTCACTGATCATCGTCCATTGCTGTTTAAGTCAGAGCAGCTGATATGGGCAGCCACAGGGGCTCCCCTGGTGGTTGCACTCTTGTGATTTGTAAATTGACCACCACCCAGGCATGAATTAAATCAGAAGACAGATTCTTTCTGTGCTACACAAATTGGAGACAGACTTTTTTCCCCCCTTCTTTTGGATTTCATGGGTCCTTTGAGGATGGCTTACCAGGGGGCAGGAGAAGACCATTTAGTGTCTGTCTGGTTGTAATGGCTCCAACCCCATAATCGCCACTTCTCTCTCTCTTGCTCACTCTCTCTCTCTCTCACTCACCACACCCACACCACACACACACACACACACACACACAGACACCACACACACACTTAACTCCTGTCATAGTCACAGTTGCCTGCAAGGTTAGGGCCACAGAGATTGATTTTTTGTGCTTGGACCCAAGATATAAAGACATGCTGAGCACTCTGTCTGGATGCAGCCATCACTGCTGCGGTTAACATCAGCTCGGTGGTTAAAACGTTGCGGTTAATCATATATTGGTGCAGACTTTGGTTCATTCCCTTTCTTGTTATTCCGAGCAAATGGATAATCCTGTCCTTGGTCAATTAGTGTTTTGGATAATCACAGCTGTGACTAATTGGTACAGTGAGCAAGGGCTTGTTTTGGTTAATTACCGTTATTGTGGTGGGTCTTGCTGTGGGTAATGGCACCTATGGTTAAATTGTCACTCTGATTTATCACACCCAGGGCTCGTCTAGATCTGTGTACAAATGTCTGTCTTTTTTTCGAGGGGGGTTAAGAAAGTTAATGATGTTGTTTCTTAATTGTGCCAGCCAGGAGTCATGAACTCACCCTGCCAGGGTCAAAGGAAACTCTTGTTTTATCAACATATGATACTTGTGTAGGTTTTGTGGAATGTTTTGCTCGCATACTGCTTATCAGAAAGCAGGAAATGAAAGGATTGCCATTTAAAACAAGCAGAAATCCCACCACCCTCCCCTCTCTCTGCTGTTTTCACTTGCACTACTACGCCGAACACGGATTTCACGATAATGCCCTCTTTCCTCAAGGAAAATTGTATCCAAGTCATTACGGTCAGATCCTGTTATGGAAATAAGAGTATTGTCCATGGATACGATTGCTTTCTTCTTCTTCTTTTTTGGTTTGTTTTTTGAAAAATAGCTGCTTAAAGCAGGAAGGGCAAATGCAGCATTCAATGAAGGGGGAACAAAATCCCAGAACATTTGGTTTGTATTTCTTTTTACCCTCAAGGATGTTTGCATTATCATTCAATAAAGACTCTGGCCCACGAGAGACTTCCCCAGATTAGCTTTATTCTTTTTAAACAGAATATTAAATAATACACACTAAATATTCCATCGTCATTATTATTTTAGCTACCCATGGCTTTCTCTGACCTTCATGTCTTCAGTTGGAATGATTTTGCTTTTGTGATCTTTTTTTTAAAATAATAATTATTATTATTTGTTTTCCAGTCCCTGCTCTTTGTCATTAAACTCAAGTTATGATTTGGGGGTGGAGGGAGTGCAAGCTGACAAATTTGTCTTGTCTCCATGGATACAGGCGATTGTGGACACTGTTGACAACCTCTTGAGGCCAGAAGCTCTAAAATCCTGGAAAGACATGAATTCCACGGAACAAACACACGCCGCCACGATGCTGCTGGATACCCTGGAGGAAGGGGCGTTTGTCCTCGCGGAAAACCTGATTGAGCCCGCCATCGTGAAAGTTCCCGCAGAGAATATCCGTAAGTTCCTCTCCAGTAACTGAGAAAACCACATGTGCACATCCATCATTCACAGTCTGTGATGTTGATGGCTTTTCTTTTCTTTCTTTTTTTTTCAGTCTCAGGGAGATAGTTTTAAACACAGCGGTAAAAATTGTCTCACATTCAGGCAGCTATTCTTTAAGAAGAGCGTCATTTTGAAAATAGCCACATCTCATCTCGTTTCACTGACGTCATAAGAAAAGATTTGACTCAAAAAAAGTGGGGAGAAAAAAAAGCTAATTTGCCCTCAAAGGCAGGCACTTTATTATCAACATGATCTCATTCATATAAGTCAGCTGTGTGCAGTGAACTGTCATATTTCTACTCGTATCTCTTTGTTTCTATGGTTATGGTCCTCCACTTACCCTTTTTGTCTTATACCTCATTGATTTTTAATCTTTTTCTCGCATTGTAAAGTCACCTCATTGAATGGGTGCTGCCAGATGAACTGTCCAGACCTCTTGGGGGGGGAAACAAAGAAACCAATTGAATGGCACTGCTCCATTCACATGGCACTCTATCTGTTCCCTCTAAGCCTTTCCCATTAATAAGTAGTTAGCCAAACTGATAGGGACTAGTTGCTCTGTCTTTACCAAAAGCACTGATTAACACATTGTGTAATATGTTTCACATTAGCCATTTAATCACCGCATTCAGACAGTTTTTATGAGCTTGTCAAGTGCTTGCTTATCTGCACAATATAGATAATGAAAAAAACATAACTAAATATGACGAAACCTCAGAGAACAGCCTACCTGACCTCTCTTAAAAGAGTCGAAAAAAGCCGAAAATGATTGTTGATTCTAATTAGCAGTTTCCTCGAAGCTCAAATGGCATCTCCGGGCGAGTATCAAGGGCAGGGCGAGGGAAAAAAGGGAGAAAGGGAGCTAAAAGGTAGATGGCGGGTGGTAGTGGTGGTGGGGGGAACAGCTAGAGAACAATTCCTCATCTCCGTCTGTCAGAAGCCACCTATCTGAGGAAGTGAGGCCGTTTCTGATGGGAGGGAGTGTGCTGATACGTGTGTCCTCCTGACCCTTTAATAATTTCACACATCAAAGGGAGCACCACCCGGCAGCTGGCATACCAGAGAGAGGGGCTGCAGGAATTTGGAGGATTTTCAGAGATTTGCTCGTCGAGGCCCAGAGTTATCTGAACCCACAGGGGAAAGAAAAAGTAAAGTAAAAGCTCAATGATATTTTTGATCCTATGAATATTTGACATTCATGCCGCAGTAGGCTGCGTGCTTGAATTTGCTCATCTTCTATCGTTGCCCTTGTTGTTATTTTTTTCTTCCGCTCCTGCCTCCAAGGCTTTCACAATGCCAGCCAACAGCTTAGTGACATGGTTTTTTAAGTAAATGACACTCGACGGGGTTTTGCCAATAAGACTGGATTCTGTTACTGGTACAATGAACCTCGAGTCTTTACACATACCCCACTGGGCCTGAGCGATAGAGTTCTATTAAACACCATGTAATGCTTCTCAAATGTTGCCTATGAGTAATACATCTCCCCCTCTCTCAATCTCTCTGTCGCTTTCCCTTTTGCCTCGGCCATCTCTCAGTGTTGGAGGTGTGTGTGCTAAGCACCGACGGGCAGGTGCAAGACTTCAGATTTCCACAGACGAGCAAGAGCGGAATGACTCTTCAGCTGTCTTCCAACACGGTGAAAGTCAACAGCAAAAACGGTGAGAGAACGTCACTGCAGAAGAAACACCTAGCTGATCAGATGGTTCGATGGTAGTTCATAACCATGTCCTAATTCACATAGTTGTTTTCATTTGGGTAATTAAGTTGGGTTAATGCCTTAAAGTGATTTTACGTGCTAAGGCATTTTGAATCGGATTAGTAAGACATTTGTGAAATATGCTCATTGATTTATTTATTTTTTGCCGGGAGTTACAATATGAGTCTCATACACTGCACTGTATGGGGTAATATAATCAGGAGGTTATTAGCTTAGCTTAGCATAAATCCTGGAACGAATTAGCGATGCTAAAAGGCAATGCTCCTTGGATATGGGTCAACAAAAACAACCATTGTTTAGGTTTCATGTGTTTGTGCATGTCTATGCTGAAGTATTGCTTGACCTGTTTGTTCTCAAAGTTTTGGTGGGGGGGGGGGTTGTTTTTTTTTAATTATATGTGTCATCTAGGACTGCTGGTTTAGCTTACTGGGTTGAGCGGTTGACTTGTGTGCTGCAAGGCTCATGCAGAGGCCTGTGTTCAAATCTGCCCCAAGGGTTTTTACTGTGTGTCTTTCTGCCAGTTTCTCTGTCTTACTTCCGCTGTCCAGTCACAATAAATGCTAAAAGCTTAAACACTGGGCATTTTAGCTATATATTCATGTATAATTCAGGTTTTGTGGACATAAATGGGATGTTATTGTCCTGAAATGAAAACTATCGGTTGCTTTCATAAGGTTTTAACGATGCATAAAGGCTTAAAAAAAACCTGTTGCTTGGTGGTTGCTTGGAAGCATGATAACATCATAATATCTGATATAGATAAGAACCAGTGACTACGTAAAAGACTTACAGGGGCCTAAGATGTTCCTGATGATCTTAGGAGGAGTTTGTGAACAAACAAACACACACGCAGATCTGAGATTAGTGATCTAATCTTAACATTTTGATATTTCGAGGAAGGGGGGGAAAAAGTGTAACGATCACTTTTGCAGAAAACAGAACTTCTGCTCAAAATGTTTCAGAAGTTTCTGGTGAGGTGGAATACTAAATAGAGGACTTTCACCCAGGAGATTGGGACGCTTGTTGTATGCATAACCATAACTCACTGCTCATTAGTTTTAGTCTTTGTTTGATTTTTGCGTTAATGTTGAGGCTTTCAGTTGGAGTATTGTTAGGCTGAACCAAACTACCTTGTCTAGATAAAGATCATGGTTTTGGTCAACAAGCCCCAAAGGCAAATGTCTCCCATGTGCACCTGGCTTTTAATCTTTTTTTATCTTTTCCCAGTGACATGGTCGGTTAGTGGCAACAATGGACATTAATTATGATGTTGCTGGAGCAACGCAGCGAAAGCGCATCATTTTGCAATGAAGAGTCTTAAGGTTGCCATTAAAAATAGTTTTAAAAACATGCAAAACATGAAGAACATGGATCAGATGTTTCATATTTTAAAATTAATCTTAATTATCACTGTAATGAGTAAAGTATAGTGCGCTTTGCAGCAGTCAGACAGATGAATTGTGCACCTCATCTGTCTAACTGGCTCGACATCCTGTGTGTTCATTGGCAGAGGCACCAGTTTTAACAATCTATATATTTTATATAAAATGCAGTGAGCCGTGTTATTTTGGGGGAGTGAATTATTACTGTTTGGTAGATAACTGTAAATTATGTCTAATGCTGTACTTCTTATTGTTTGCTATAGGTGTAGCCAAGCTGGTATTTGTACTCTACAAGCACCTGGGTCAGTTCCTCAGCACAGAAAATGCCACATTGCGGGGAATGGGAGACCTGAACAAACACAACCTCTCTCTCACTGTCAACTCCCACATCCTGTCAGCCTCTATTACAAAGGAGTCGAGCCGTGTGTTTGTGGCAGACCCCGTGATCTTCACACTGGAGCACCTGGATGTAAGCCTCCCTCGGAGATTTACCCTGACCACACTATAGAGCCAGGCTGTCAAAAAACAGGATAGACTGCAATACCTTTTACAGTAAAGGAGAAACCGTGTGCCGTTATGATGATTAGCACCATTTTGATCTTTCTCCTTCACAAATAATTGAGTACGTTTTTTTAAAATCGAAAAAAAGGAGAAGTAAACACATGACTGACGTGTTTAACTGCGCATATTCATAAATGTTTAATTTTTTCCCCCTCTCTGCTTTTGTGTTTTGCAGAAAGAACATTATTACAATCCCAACTGTTCCTTCTGGAATTACTCAGAGAGGAGCATGATGGGATACTGGTCCACTCAGGGTTGTAAACTGCTGGAAACCAATAAGAGCCACACCACTTGCTCGTGCAGTCACTTGACCAACTTTGCCATCCTCATGGCTCATCGGGGAAATGTGGTAAGTGGCCCTCGCCTTGTGGCTCGCTCAAGCTATTTTTCTGTCTCAATTACTCGTTCTTCCGTCTCACTTAAAGATTTGTGCACACGCGGCAAGAACAAGAATGGCATTTCAGTGGAGATAATTAGATTATAGCTGGAGGAGAAGGTAAGGGCAGGGAAGAAAGGGAGAAGTGGAGAAAAGGCAGCAGGGCTGTCGCTTTAAAAGTGCGAGTTTGTGTCAGGAAGTGCCATACCATTATCAGAAGTAATTATGTTCTACCTGTGATCCATGTCTAATATCCCTCTGTGCATATGTCTCAGAGAATCATGGGAAACAACATAACTTCAGCTTTAACTTGTGTCTCCACCCCTCTTGAAGTGGTGTTGGACCCATTTGGTCGCGAAATGCAATTACAATCCAATTACATGATAAATAGCATGTGCAGCGAGGACCTAGCCAGTAATAAATGTAGAGGATAAGTTTGTGGTTTGTCTAATAATACGTCCCAACTCATGAACTCTATGCCTGTCATCTGTCTTAACCTCAACCTTAACCACAGCTTGAAACCAGAGCCCTGAGGCTAGGCTTAGCCCCACCAATCCCCTACACATCACCTCAACTGTAACTCCTGCCCTCAATAAAATTACAAATATCACGGGAGGAATTGGCTCACTTTGAGGCCACCATGTCCTTGAGTGATATTTTTTTTTTATGGTCGTGTCTGCTATTTTCACTTTTGCCAGGTGGCTGTCTTGAAATACGCTCAGTTTTGGACCTCCTGAAACGCAGCGTGATTCAACCACAAAGCGAGAACGCGGATGCCACATGTTCACAGCTCTTTTTGTGGCATTTTTCTGTTGATGTCACTTTCTGCAACACTTTCTCGTGAAACTTCATGAGCTCTAATGAGATTAAAGGATAGTTGCGTGGTTTTAATCAGTCAAGTTGCCATATGAATACCAAAACATGTTGTGGATGCTCTAATCATTAATATCAGCAAGGTGATGCGACTTTCCCAGTAATAAGCGAGGATTAAACACTCCAGAGATTTCGATTCAGTGACAACATACAGGGTGCGTGTGTGTCCCCATTAGGCCAGCACAGCTTCACTCATTACGTGCTCAAACGCTGCCCATTATAATGAGAGGTGCAAAGTTTAAAGTCAGTCCGTGCTTCCTCTATTTGTCTGCAGAGGGACGGGAGCGTGCACGAGGTTCTCCTCACCGTCATCACCAGGATGGGCATTGCTGTGTCTCTGGTCTGCCTGGCCATCAGCCTCTTCACTTTCTGCTTCTTCAGAGGTCTGCAGAGTGACCGCAACACCATTCACAAAAACCTGTGCCTCAACCTGTTCATCGGCGAGCTTCTCTTTCTTGTGGGCATCAACATGACAGAACCAAAGGTACCGTGGAAGTGACTCTGCAGAAGGTTTTAATTTCACACTACTGATTAATAGTCTCATCTGCTGTAATTAACCTTTTGTACACCTGAATTTTCCCTTCAGTTTTCCTTTGAAGTGGCAAACCAAAAAAAAAAAAATCCACATTAGATTAAAATATCATATTTCTATTAGGAGTCTGCCAGTGGTAGAATTTAATGCAGATATTAAAAGCAGGAGTTTTATGGCAGCAACGTATTTATTTGAAATCAAATATTCTTCCTGTAATTTAATCACAGATGTCTGAAATTATTTATGTTTTTGCTGAGGTTTTGCAAACATGTAACTGCTAACAATGGGATGTTAACTTTTGCAACACTTTGGACGTGTGACAATCATGTTGACAGTGTCCCCCAGTTTCACCGGCCTAGAGAACAGTCCGGGGCCATCTGGGAAACACCGAGCGTGAGGCAAAAATGTGTATTCGCAACTTTTTGGCGAGTGGTTAATGGACGCTGCTGACAGTCACTGGGAAAGTCGGTTGCTAAAGATCCAGTTACACAGGCCTGGAGGCTGGTTAATGACCTGCCCCCGGCTGTGAGGAAACTGGTTGTTGAAACTTTGCCTTCCTTTGCGTTGAGAGCAAAACTAACACAAGAGGTTAAAGGGCTTAAACCCCAAAATATAAATATAAAAGCTTTAAAGTAAATAAAAGGCTTTGTTTAGGAATTATTTAACCATTTTATAATTTTACGGTTTGGGTTTTGGAACATAACTCTTCATATCATTTTAAGAGGATGTAAAAATTTAGTCTGCTGTAAGATTCCTCCAGAATATTCAATTTAAACCAAGTTTGCAGTTGAAAAATCTGCTTTCATGAGTGAGGAGCGGTTTGACTTGGCTAGCTGCAGTTGGCCTGCAGATTTACACTGAATCAGGTCCACAGTCAGGTACAGCTTAATCTCTCTCTCTCACACTCACCTATCTCAGAAGTATTTAAATTTATGTAAAAGATTTCTGTTTTGTTTACTAGCTTAAAAGGGGAATAAAGAAACTGGTTGCTTGGAGGGAAAAAGTTATATTTCTCTCCTGGTCTGTGTTTGCTCTGGTCTCACATTGCTGCGGTTGCCTGTAGTTTTCATGGGAGATGCCAACTTGTCTGCAAACACTCATTAACTAAAAGCTGAGCAGCAGTGAGACTTGGAAGAAGCTCGACACGAACTTGAAATGGAGAACGTTTGCCTCAGTCATACCTCAGCTAACACAAGGAGATTTTTGGTGCAGCATCCTCTTTGTGATCGATTTCACCTGACAGCCAGCAACCTGTCAGGTGACCACACAGCAACCACACATGTTACACTCTTCAGAAATGTGCACGTGACATCATGCGAGAAACCTCAACGGATACTTTGAGATCTGTGGAATCTGTTACATTTATAGGAGGAAGATGCAGATTTTTAAATTCTAATAAAGTGTGAAAAATGAGTGTTTGAACTATTTGATCAATAGAAAAATGAAAGTACCTCCAAACATCTGATTCTGATATTTATGAAGCTGATTTGTTGCTAGATATTTTTTTATATAAAAAGACTAAAATACATCTTTACTCACTGAATATGTAGCTTCTCAATTTCAAACTTTGACAGAAATGTGTATCTCAAAACATGTTAAAAAGCTTAATCTTTGCATCAGTTAACATCCATCTAAAAGATAAAGGTAATAATTATCAATCATTGCTATGCTTTTAGCTCTGGTTTGGTGTCCAATGACTCCCAGTGAAAGTGTTATTAAGCTGCTAAAAGCGTCACTTCATCATTTATAGGAGTGTGCAGCATGTATTTGGTCTTACTAAGGCACATTTCTGATCCCACAAATGACAACAACAAAGCTGTGGACTAAAAAACAAACATTTTCAGCTAAAAGGTGCAGAAATCTGCTAGCATACATCTGCAAACATCTAGTCCTGTCTTAATAAAAATAAATAACTAGACTAACTTAAACTAACCACCCTTCTAAAGCAAAAACATACAGATTTGTGTTAAATACTATAGACAAGTCATTTTTGGTAATAATGAAAAAGGGAAAAAAAATCTTTCTATTTATTTATCTTTTGACTTTTATTTTCAGTATAGAAAAATAATGATAAAAACATGGAGGGTGTGTGGAAAGTGCTGGCAAAAGCACAAGGTAAGGTCACCATCAGGGGGTTCCACAGGTTTCGCAGGGTAAGGTCATCCGGGTCAGGAGTGTTGTTTTGTAGCATAGAATTACACATTTATTATGGTTGCTTTGATTGGTGTTATGACACTCTGAATTCCTCTCAGCCCAGACAGCAGAAAGCTGACCGCATGAATAAACCTTTCCAAAGCAGCAGGGAGGGAAGCGTGTTCATCCAAGGCGCAGGGTTTAGTAAAATAAGCTCTTTCACTGTCCTTTTACCTCTGCGTGTAACGTCTGCTTGTATTTTCTCATCAGCTGGTCTGCTCCATCATCGCTGGAGTTCTCCACTTCTGCTTCCTGGCCGCGTTCGTGTGGATGTGTTTGGAGGGCGTGCAGCTGTACCTCATGCTGGTCGAGGTGTTTGAGAGCGAGTTTTCACGCAGGAAGTATTACTACATGTCTGGGTACCTCATCCCAGCCGTGGTGGTGGGCATCTCAGCGGCCATTGACTACAGAAGCTACGGCACTCAGCGGGCGTAAGTGTGGGATCTTTGCAGAGGCTCTTCTTCCCGGGATAAATATCACAAGCTTTAGTCCTCCCTTCTCCCCACTGCGACACACCCACACAGCATGTACTGTATGTGCTAATGATAGTAATATCACAAAGAGTAGTCCACCTCTGGCCCCTTGGCAAATTTACAGCCTGTCATTGCTAAAAGAAGAGGCTGTGAGCAAAGTAGCTGCATTAATGAATGTGCTGGCTAGCTGCACTCGCTCGCTGGGTTTTTAGTCTTGTGGATGTGGATAATTGCCGCCCATGTCAGTTAAAAGTTTATGCACTCCTCTGCTGGTCTTCATCCAAGCAGCAAGCTTTATGATTTGTAAAACGGCGAGTCCTCTCTAATTTATGGAATTTAAGTAAACCGCCTTTTTCAGACTCTATTTTCCATTCTGTTTCCCGGTGATAAACGTGGGCTGAGGTGCAATTCATTCTTAAACTGTCTACATTACAATGTTTACTGTTCTTACATACACACAGATATCCCACATTTGTAGACATTTGCAGACTGTGAAGTCATGAGTCCAGTAACCACTGGCTTTTACACTGCAGCTTCTCATGGCACGAGGCCAGCACTCCCTTAAGGTCGGGTTTTCTTCTTTGCGGTCAAAGGAGTTTCTATTCTGTTGCTGCGGCCTATCATGCAGCCGGCTCTGCTGGGCTCCGATCAATGAGAAGCAACTTTGTTTTCACAAAGAGACGATTTAATGAACTGAACACCACCTTTTACACCCTATAGGTGCTGGTTAAGAGTCGACAACCATTTCATCTGGAGCTTCATCGGACCTGTAACCTTCATAATTGTGGTAAGTTGTAAATTTGTGCACGCGTGTGATAACTTTTTGTTCTTTGAAAGAAAAGCTCAGAGAATAGTTTATAGATTTTTCTCTCTCTCCGTCTGTGCTGGCAGCCTCTTAGCTCTGCTTTCTCAGATCAATTTGCATGAAAGGAAAGTGGTCCCATTATAGCTGACACGAGGACATCAGTGTCCACTCAGCTATGAAATCCTCTGAAATCAGAATTGGTGAGCGGCAACAACTTGAAGCTGTTTGGTCCTTGCTGTACATCTAGAGAATACTCCCCTGCTGCAATCAGGAGGAGAAATCGTTTCAGGCATGAAGGTCATTTGCTCAGTGGGAAAACAAGGGTGATGGTGGCGGGGGGTGGGGATGGGGTGGTGAACATGGAAGTAATGAGTGGGTGGGCCAGACAACTATTACCACAGCTCATAGCCCTGCTGAGGATTATGACGCATCCCCAGCCAATCCTAGAGCGCGGACATCTCCATCTTCACCTTTTAATATTTCATGCACGGCGCTGGGTGTTCGCCATGCGCATAGACACACGCACAACGTGTGCGCATCACATGCACGCATTCAGCATGACCTAAGCAGACCCAGAGCGCTTATCCATATAGGCGTATATAGTAACACGTATGTAAATCTGTCCATAGGCTCTAGATGGACGCCAGACCCCATGTAGGCAGCCCCTGTTATATGCACTTGATTTCGCAGGGAAGTAGAAATTTTAGATGGCACATGCAGTTCGCCTCATCTTTCTGCAGAGTGCCCCCTTTACTCCATTCCTCGCTGTCTGTCTCATCGTATCTGTGTCACCACTTACAGCTGTGTTAAATGCATCTCCAGCCTCTCGACTCAAGCAGACGTAAATCGGCCCCTGTGGCTGGGAGACAAAACACGGCATTACTCTAAGCTGTGATCTAAAAGCCTCTTTCTGTCTTTTTAGCCACTCCTTTTTCTTCCATCTTTCTCAACGCCGCTGTTGTTGGTTTCCATCTGCGTTCCACTCACAGCCTCTTTGTTTCCATTTAGGACCCTGCTTTTGTTGCCGCCTGTGTTCTCGGGATGCGTTCACGCGGGATAATGCCGGGGATCTTGCCGCTGATTTGTGAATGAGAATTGAAACTGAAATATTTGATAAACTGGAGAGCACTACATCTCGATCATTAGGGGTCCGTTTTTATGCCAACTCGTGCCTTTTATTATCCCCCGTTCACGCTCGAAGCGCTTGGGTGCGCTTGAAAAATGCACGCCCGGAGCAGGTTTTTGAGGGTAGAAGTTTTTCATGTGATAAGGCTCCGGATCCATTTTTTTCTTTTTTGTTTTTCGTTGAATATTAACAGAAGAACATTTCAAAGGTTGAATGTGGTATCGTGCCAAATTGAAGTGCATCTCCTCCCTTTCCCTTTGTGGCTACAGGCCTGCAGTGCTTAGAGAGTTAGAGATAGAGACATCCTGAAAGCATCGAAACCTTTCTGGATATATGGCTTGAATCACTTAAATGTTTTTTTCCTGGCCTCGGTGAAGCTTGTTTTTAAAACATGACATTCAAACTCTATACTTTCCCCACTAGATTGAACTTTTTTTTTCTCTCTCCCGGCGCTCTTGCCTGCACTTTATTAGATCTGTTTCATCAGATAGACGTCCCTTATTTTGTGGATTTGTACTCTGTGTTTGGAATCAGCTGTAATGACAAACATGAGGGAGAAATTTCGAATGTAGCCGATGTTGAATATCGAAGCTGTGTGAAGCAGACCAAGGCGATAACCTCTCACAGTTGTTTTTCCTCTTTGAAAGTCAATGTACTTTGTGATCTGCACAGAGGCATTAAATTTTCATATTCCTCTCCGTAAAGGTGTGTTTGTGTTGACACACGCCACGGAGCCAGCGAGAGAATAGCTTCAAAAAATATTCTGGTTGAAAATGTAAAACGTTAAGGGAGCTGTTTTCTGCACTGACTACTTTTTAATTTCAAGATTTCTATTTGCATATATAGAATTGAAGAAATCAAACACAAGGTCAGCGTGACAGTAAAGGATTGGAGCACTTGCTCCATTCGTTGGTGGTAACAGCAGGAATCACGTGACTACCTAAATGCGTTCTGTTAACCCTTATGTGGCATCTGTTTTGACAGGTCAATGTCATCTTCCTGGTGGTGACCATGTACAAGATGGTGAAGCATTCCACCTCCATGAAACCTGACTCGTCCAGGATCGGGGGTATAAGGTGAGGGAGGCGGGGGGGTGTCACTCTAGTCGATAAGGAGGCTGAGCTGTGGCTGCTTGCTGTTAGAGTGTGTGTGTGTTTGCTGAGCGGGGGGAGTGGGAAGAAAAATAATATGCACCATTACTGCTTTTGCCTACCTCCTGAAATTTCAAAAGCAGCTTCTGACCTACACGTTTATTTGATTTTCTCCTCTCTTAAACCCGACCAGACCAGTAATTTTCCCTTTAGATTTTATTTCAGTCCGTAGGTGGTGCCTTTTTAGTTCATTTTATGATTTCTGTATTTGCGCTACGCTGGGGTATATTGCCTTTTTATATTTTTTTTATTTCTTCATAACTGCAATTCTGACCTTTGTATCTTTTTGCTCCTGTGTTGGCATAGTTTATAGGCTTCTTTGAAAGGCGGATTCAACCGCAATCTTTGCAGATTTGAAGTTTTAAAACAAAAACAGGAGGGCCTCAGTGTTTTCGTTTTCTGTCTGCTGCGTTTGGTTGTGAAAAGACGAAAGCCTCTGACCGTTTCTATGCCTGGATTCTTGCTCAACAATATGTTTGAGGGCAGGCCAACATATGTTATGTGGGTGTCTGATTCAAAGACATTCACTCTGATTTTGGTCCAAACCCAAGATAAGGCATTGAACTGGTTTTTGGATTTTTTTGCACAGACAAAACTCACATTTATGGATGCTGGATTTCTCACATTATAATAAGTACTCAGTAGTCATTAACTGTTATGGTCCAACTTGAATCTGCTATGAATTTGGTCTCTGACTCAAATTTAGGAACTTGTTAAACAATGAAATAACATCTTCGCTGCACTAGACAGCAAGCAGAATTAGGCGTCATTTTCAACATTGTTCACTGTGATTTTTCTCCCACCGACAACATGCTGTTGTCCCATTTATTTCCAGGCTCATGGTATCTCTCTGGGGATGCCTTACTTCTCTCTTGTGTGTCAGTAACGACCAGGCATCGCCACTGAAACTGACTGTCGAGTTATCTTATATTCTGGAAACCACCAAGGAAAATCCTGCTGTGTTTGCAGTCTTGTTAGACAACAATTCAGAGGAAGACCAAGGAAATTTCCTAACTGTCAGACAGTGAACGTGCGCTGTCTGCAAAATTTGTATCAGCATTTTTACACTTTGCCACCACTAGTGCAAATTGTCAAGCAAAAAAACCGGTGTTTCAAAAAGGTGTTGTCCAGGAGTGGAGAAGCAGGGAATTTAGGATTTTTTGCTGTTTTAATGTTGCTCTTTCCTGTCTTTTGCAGGTCATGGGTGTTAGGAGCCTTTGCTCTACTTTGTCTTTTGGGGCTGACGTGGTCCTTTGGCTTGTTCTTTCTCAATGAGTCCTCAATAGTGATGGCTTACCTCTTTACCATCTTCAACACTCTGCAAGGGATGTTCATCTTCATCTTTCACTGCCTGCTGCAGAAAAAAGTAAGATTTGTCCTTCTGTGTCTCAGATATGCTGTAAAATAGATTAACAGTAAGGTGAAAAACTGTTTTCTTAGTTTTTTGCGTATTTGTCACATTTACATGCTTTAGATTGTCAAACAAATTTTAATATTAGACAAAGACAACCCGAGTTGATACAAAATGCACTTAAATGATGATTTCATTTATTAAGTGGAAAAAAGCTATCCACACCTAGCTGGGCCTATGTGGAAAAAGTAATTGTCCCCCTTATTAAATCATGAATTAACTCTTATTTACCAAAATGTTTTGGAAAGCCAGACCTGTTGAATCAAGAAATCGCTTAAATAGAACCTGCCTGACAAAGTGAAGTAAGCTAAAAGATCTTAGAAAGCCAAACATTCTAAAGAAACAGCAGACAAGCAAAGGCACTTACATCTATCAGTCTGCCAAGGATTACGAAGCCACTTCTAAGGCTTTGGGATGCCAGTGAACCACAGTGAGAGCCATTATTATCCACAAATGGAGAAAACGCGGAACAGCAGGCTATCAAAATTACTCCAAGAGTGCATCGACGGCTCATCCAGGAGGTCACAAAAGACCCCAGAGCAACATCTGAAGAACTTCAGGCCTCAATTGTCTCAGTAAAGGTCAGAGTTCATGATTTTACAGTTGGAGAGTTCCAAGAAGAAAATCACCGCTGACCAAAAAGAGGACAAAGGCTCGTCTCACATTCGTCAAAAAATAACCAAGGGAAGATATTCTGTGGACTGCCGAAAAATACTTTTTTACAGAAGACTAGGGAGGTTTGGATGGCTTTCTAATAAATTTAATCACCGTTTGTATTTACTTTAGTTATCTTTGTCTAATTTCTTTGATGATCTGAAACATGAACATGTGACAAATATGCAATATTTATGCGGGAATTTGTTTAGTCACGATAATTGCACTCCCGGCATCTGTGTGGGGATGTAGCTCAGTGGTAGAGTGTATTAGGCCCTGGGTTCAGTCCCCGGTATCTCCACATTTTGTGGCTTCGTTATGTTGCGGTTTACTCATTTCCAACCATAGAGACAAATGGCCTTTGCGATTGAGTCAGAAAGGGCATCCAGTGTAAAACTGCCAAATCAAACATGTTCAGTTACCTGCTGTGGTTACCCGCTGTGAATAAGGGAGCAGCTGAAAGTAGCTTTTAATTATCCAACATTGTGACAGCTATGATTTGAGTTGTCTTCTCTCATTTTGTAAACTAAAGGAAGAGAATTACTTAAACAAGTTTAATAAGTTTTATTAATAATTAATCACTCTAAGTGATTAGTTGATTGGCAGGAAATTAGCGAGGAGATATTAACTAGTTAACTAATTGCACAGTTGGTTTATAGTTACTTTTTAGGACAAATATGAACAGCTTGTTGCAGGTTTTCAAATGTCAGGATATTTTTTTGCCTTTCTTTGTCCTCTATGGTAATAAATTAATTTCATTTTAAACTGCTGTAGAGACAGAACAATATGTGTGTTAACTGTTATCTATAATTGTCTTTTTTAAAATAGAGGAAACATTCAGTAATTGTTTCACCTTTTCTAAAAGGGGGAATTTTCTAAAGATTTAAGCTAAGATTTGCCTGCTTGTCACTGAATCTAAAGTAGATTTCAGTTGTGGCTATTTGTATCTCTTTATAGGAGCATTTCCAGTTTATTTTTTTTGGGTTTTTTTTTTAACTGGTATTTCATATATTCATATGTAGCAACACTCATGTCAAAATGCTTTCTTGTTACAATATTGCAATATGCTGCACACTGTTTGTTATTCCTGCCCTTACACATATGACATTTAAACTGCTGTCAGCTGGATGGCATTTGATAAAGATTTGGGATTTGCATCTCTCAGGGGGGGGCTGCTGTCTGTGTCTGTATGCTGAGTTTGTCCTGATCTTTTATTCCTCTGCAGGTACGCAAAGAGTACAGCAAATGTTTCCGTCAGTCCCAGTGCTGCGGGGCGCTGCCGTCTGAGGGTTCCCACAGCTCAGCCAAGACAGCCACGTCTCGATCCACGGCCCGCTATTCGTCCGCTACTCAGGTACACACCAGAGAATCTGGCATATCACGGTTTAGGATTTAGAGCACTGTGCCTTAAAATGGACTGCACCGCAGAGAATGAGTAATTCATTAATTACTGAACATTTTACGGGCTTTTCATAAAGTATTTTTCGCTACCTTCTTGCATTTTTGAAGGCCAAAATAAAACAAAGTATTTAGCCCTGTTTTCTTAAACATATATAGACTCTAAGCCATTTTTAAGACTGAGCTACAAATGGCCTTCAGGCTGAGTGCTTTTCCATGAGTACAGACAAGGTGTGAAGTTTGAGAGACAAAGTAACACACTCTTATCTTTTGATTGAAAATATAAAAGTGTTGAAAAGGATTCTTAAACGCTAAATTTGCACTTTCTTCCATAAAGCCAAGCTTCTCTACAGAGGTTGGGCATTGAAATAGAAATGTCACAGAGTGCAGTGCGTTATGTCACATTTCAGCTTTCACATTGTAGCTTAAGTGTAGTTTTCAGATTGTTTGGCTGTGTAATGTTAAATGTTAGTGATCAAAGGATGGACTTGAAGTTTTCTTGTCACTTGTGTTAAGAAATCTTTCCTTTTTTAAAATCCCGAAAAGGCATTTACACCCAGTGCTTCTTTCATATGTGTGTTATCGTGGCCGCAGGTAGACCCTATTTGAAAATTGTAAAAACAAAACAAAAAAAAAAAACCCAGATACATGCATGTGGTAATATCTTCTTTCTTGTCTTTGTGAGAGCTATCTTAAGAGCACCTCTGGGAATTTGGCGGATGCTCCTGCTCTTAGCATCTGAAGAAAAAAGAAAAAAAAATGCTGCTCAGGGCCGATCTCTCAAATTACAAACCGTAAGACTCTCAGCGTATCCATTTTTGGTTGGATCAATAGCACGTGAAGGGCTTTGTTGTACCTGAACACAAACATGTCATCAAGCGGTGAATGAGCTGGATTTTTTTTTTGTGTACAAGTGCAGGTTTGAAGCACAAACTCGCATAGCCACTCAACCCTTTGGGGCAAAAAAGCCTTCAATAAAAGTCGCGCCGTGTTGAGTCCTGATCAGTGGCTGCCTTTTTTCTCAACCCAGAGCCGCATCAGGCGGATGTGGAACGACACTGTGAGGAAGCAGTCAGAGTCCTCCTTCATCTCAGGAGACATAAACAGCACCTCCACACTCAACCAGGGTAAGCAGCCATCTCTCCTTCGCCACCGCCAGACGAGACACATACGCCATTCTCTTTGTGATGAAGCTCTGAATTCACAATAAACACATCAATGGATGCGACCCACCTGGCTATGTGGCAGCTCAGAAAGGAGTAAGATAAGACCCGATTTAATGCCTCCGTTCTCTTAGCGCCAAGCAATCAAAAAATAGCATTAAATGTTACTTGTGTATCTTAAGTTCAGAGCTTTTTCCGCTACGCTCCTGCTCGCCGGGATCCTCTGAACGGAGGGGAAAAAATAGTGACAGAAAGGAGGTGCGATATTTAGTCTGGCATAAAAAGTTATAGACGAGGACTTGAGTTCAAATAACGACCCTGAGCGGAGAGACTGACTGCGCAGCAGCCCTCTAAATCATCTTCATCCTGGGGTGATTGTCAGCATGAAAGCAGGGGAGGGAGACGAGCAAAGTCAGGCTGAGGTCAGAGCAGGTTTTGGACTGATCCCAGCATCATGAAGCTCAGGCTGCAGACAGCGCCAGCACAGATTTGGCTCCAATTCTCAATTAGTTTGGATTTATTTTTATTTTTATTTATTTATTTATTTTAGGGGATGGTTATTGCATTCCTAAAGATATACACAAGCATGCTGAGGATGATGGGGATGCTGTGACATGGTCACAACACGCCACTTAGACGTGTTTCGTTTTTTGTCTCAACCCAACGAGTTTGTTTAGATGAATTAGTTCCATATAAACACAGCAGCTGATTGTGCAGCTATGCTTTTTTGGTTGACACTTGTCGCAGTAATACTGTTTGTCAGTTAGAGCAGATGACTGTTTGGATAATGGTTTGCTTTGACCGGCGTTTCTATGGCTGCCTTGTCCATAATAGAAGGCAGACGGATCGCAGGCTGTAAATCTTCTGCAGTGTGAGATTCTGGACAGTGAACGTCAGCTCCGTTGTTTATGTGGACAGCTAACCAACATATAACCACAGACCATGAGATACAATGACTCAGGCTCTCTTCTTCAGCTGCTTTTTCCACCCCTCCTAATTTTTCTCCCTCTCTGTCTTTCTCTTCCTGTTATTTCAGGGATGACTGGCAACTACCTCCTAACTAACCCTCTCCTTCGAACCCACGACACTAACCCTTATAACAACCTTCTGGCAGAAACCGTGGTGTGCAACACCCCCTCTCCACCGGCTTTTCACTCCCCAGGTGCACATCCGCCCTCCACCTTTATTCTTATGCATTTTATCTGCTTTTTTGTTTTGTTTTTGCTTTTCCTTTTATGTTTAAAGCAACATTATGTTTCATTCAGTTGCTCATTTTTAGATGAATGACAAACAAAAGGATTGTAACGGCTTTCATTTCTGCCAGTCAACCCCAAAGCTAGCTTAGTTCAGCAAAAAGAGTGAAACTAGAGAGAAACAGACAGCTTGGCATTGTAAAAAAAAAAACAAGACAAACAAAAAAAAAACCACCAGCTTGCAACTAGAAAGCCTGCTAATTTTAATGTTTTATCTCTTATAATTGGAAAACCAACAGGTTAGCTTACCATGAAGAGCAGGAGAAAAAAAGCTTACACTCTAGCATAAAAAAACTACCCTTCGTAACTACTGTGCAAAATTAATTTTATTTACACTGCGGGTACGACTGCCATGGCTGATGGGTGGATGTCAGCACACGAGTTTGGTTTAACCATAAATGTAGAATCTATACTTATATAGCCTATGGCGGCGCTGTCCCAGCTAAGTTAGCATTAGCTAAAACTTAGCCCCATATGATCACTTTTCACTCCAAAATAAGGCAGCAGCCTCCATAGGGCTTGTTTTACAGTACCATGTTTGTATTTGGCTACGCAAAAGGATCTGTAACCAGAGCAAACATACTTGTGTCCTCCCAACATCACATAGTTCGACATGGATGACGCTAGGCTTAGGTTAAAAGCTAATTTGTTGAAAGGGGAGCGGAGGATTGAAAGGAGCGACAGCAGCTTTAATCAAAAGCGGGAGAAGTGCAAAAAATGAATTTGCATGTATGAATATATATTTCATTGGTATCATATTTGCTACATCTGGCATTTTCTTTGATATTTGCACATTATTAGTCAATGAAATTCAATGTACAGAACTTTTTACAGGACAGACTTGACAAGACAGCCCTGAGTTTGCATCCATCTTTTAACTACAGTCTGTGGTATAAACAGATGGAAATGGCTAGCTTAGCCTCGCAAAATGATAAGAAAATCCGCCAACCAGCAAGTGCAAGACTTACTAATTAACAGGTTTTATCCTGTCTGTTGAATTTGTGCAAAAGCAAACGTGTAAGAACAACAGGTTTCAGTCTTTGTGGCAAAACAGTCAGCCTGAGTTCCTTCAGTGACAACTTCGATCTATCAGCACTTGGAAAGCACACTAATTAACGCTAATTAATCCATCTCATTTGTTTAATCCATACAAGAACAACAATTTGCCACTTCCGGGCAGGTCATCTGCCGGCTCTTTCTTTGATCTGAGCAGTTCCCAGGCAACGAGCAGAGAAAGGAAGTAACCAGTTAAGAGAGAGTTAAGCAAAAGTTCTTGCATGTATTATAATAATTTCAGATATCACATGTCTATCAGAGAGCTTTAGGGTTGCCTGTAGCCAGATTTTGTTTTCTTTTAACAGAGCTGTCTTAATTGTTTACCCCTGCTTCCCGTCTTTATGCTATTCTAAGCTTGCCCTCTCCCGACTGCAGCTTCATATTTGAGAGACAGATACCGAGAGTGGTACCAGTCATCTCATTTAAGCCTCTGCCAGAAACGATTTCTCAAAATGTCGAACTGTTCCATTAAGTCTGTTTACTAAATTCACCAAAAACATGGAAACTGTTGAGGTTGCGGTTGTGACACAGCATGAATGGAAATGTTGAGAATAATTACACAAGGTTTCGCTTTGTTCTTCTTCATTCACACCTTCTCTGTATTTTTGTTTGTTCTTATCGAGGCAATTTTCTCCTTTGTAAACACAGAGGGAGATAAACTCCGAGACGTCAATGCTATCTTATCTCGTCCACTTAGCAGTCATAAGAGAATTGCCCTCTCTTGAATGCAAGGTTTTTGGTGACGATTCGGATCGTTTATACCATTTACGAGCGACGTATTTACACGAGATCTTTGCATTCTGTTTAGCTAACTTAAAGAAAAACCCGAGCGTAAATTGTGTTAGTGTTTATGGTGACCTAGTTCCTCACTGGCAAAGCAAAGGAAACCTAATCAAAGGGGAGAAAGCAGAAGCACATGACGCAATGCGGGCAGAGTCACAGCTCTCAGATATACACACGCATTTGATGATAAAAGAGAATATTTAAAAAAATACAAGCTCTATGGCAAAAGTGTATAAGGAGCAAGATTTGCAGTAACATATAGCTTTAACATGTTGCGGCTGCTGCTCTCGTTTTGTGCTGCAAACTGGCTTGCAGCACAATGAGTGCACTTCACACTTAGAGATAATGAAGCAGGGTTGGGACCATAAAATGTCTGTTCAGGAACTCAAAGACATTTTTGTGATATATATTTTTGCCCTGCTCTCTAGAGCTCTGCAGCAGCGAAGCAGCTCAACACAAAACTGTGTGCGTGTATCTGTGTGTGTGTGTGTGTGTGTGTGTGTGCAGACAGCATTTGCTTTATTGGCCTAAAATGTTTACCTGCTTAATCGTTGTTGGATAATTGCAGGTTAACACCAGAACAGAGCAGGCAGGTAAAAATGGCAATATTTAATTAGCAGATCATTTTGGGTCCAAGCTTAAATCTCCACTTTACCTGTAGAAACAGCTTATATCCCACTGCAGAGGACCGCTTTGCTGAGCTGCGTTTAAACAGGAGGACAGCAGAAAGTAAAAAGACAAAAAAATAATAGTAAAAGGATGTAAGGATCTACATATGGAAACTAGTTTGAGGAGAGAAGACAGCACTGCGACACACAAATGTCAAATCCCGGTGTGAAGATCACCATCCAAGGATGAAATAAGTGCCGAGAGAATGTCACGTTTAACTCAAGCTTATTCTAAATTTCCCCTGCTAGAGTCATTACACTTAGCTCCTGCGAAAAAGATGAGCATGTCTTTTACTATAAAGTGTATTAATACTCAGTAATACTCCACAGATGCTCATCCGGTGCTGTAAAATTGGTAAGGAGAACATCTTGGATGAATCTCTGCTGGAAAGCTTCCCAGAGTGCAGCTGTCTCTGTGTCCAGTTGAATTCTGTTCACATCATTTCCCTCCCTCACCCACTCTCCCGGTAGACAATACCTGTCTGCAACAAAATCGCCCAGCTGAGCATAAACAAATGCAAATCTGGAAGTCGGGCCTTTTGAGAGAACTGTCTAATAATCCCTCCACCATTACCACCACTGCCTTTTTGTGTCCTTTTGCACCCTGCACTCTTTTTGCGTTTTTTTTTTTTTTTTTTTTTAAAGGAAATCTCTTTGATGTTGTTTTCAGAGCTTTTTTTTCCAGGTACCATCATCATATTCTGACAAGTTTGAAAGAGTGCAGTTTCCCCCTTTTCCCCTTTTTATGTGTGCTCGTGACGACACAGCCGTCAGCCTACGAAATATCACTCGCAGTCTACCCAGTAAATAAAATCCTCATCAAATCAAACCAGCCCCCTCCTCCCTCCCTCTGTTTTTCCCCACATCCATCCTGCTACTTGAGCTTAGTCAGAGGGCTGCACAGAATAGGAGTAATCTGTTGTGTGTACGTCTGTGTGTGTGTTTCGCTCGTGTAAAATTGATAGATGTACACTTGAAAAAGGCGGAAAAATTTTGTGTTTCTCAGAAAGAAATAGTTTCATCAGGAAATATTTTCTTTGACTTCTTCTTTTTCTTTTTTTTCTGTCAACTTTCTTTCTTTTTTCTTTTTTTAAAGACTGCTTGCTGCTGAACCCTTTCACCTGCTGAGTCCAGGATTCAGTTGTCCATGATTTGTCCTTTAGCTCGCTCAAATTGGTAAACAAAATAATTTCTCCATCTACGTCCAGCGATTTAAGCAAAGCCTCTGCACTAAACTCGAGTTAAGCGCAAGGACACAATCCCAGCTGGGTCAACTGAATCCGGGATGGATGTTACGAGCTTCCACTTTTTTCCTATTTGAGTGATTTTATTGTTTCTGCTTCAATTGAAAAAAAGCATCTGTTTTGCTTTCTTTGCAAATCAGCTGTTCTTAGGCCAGGTAGCCTGAGCAGACACACTTGATGTGAGTGGTGGCAAAGTGAGTCATTGCACCCTGCCTGTGTGTTGTGGTGTTTGGGGCTTGTTGCTGTGCTTGTGGGGCCCCAGTGCAGAGAGGTGGTTTGCCATCTGTGTTTGACATTACTCTTTTGTTATGCCCTCGTTTCTTTCTTTCTTTATTTTTTTATAGTTTTGCTGGAATGTTTTATTCATTGTTAACATCACTGCACTTCCTCATCAGCTTGTACTTCTTTCTTTCTTTTATTCCAGTTTTCTTCTGTTTTCCTGCTGCTTTGTTACCTGGTCATGAGCTACCTAATTACATGTTGCTGTACTATATTTTTGATTTCTAAGCCATCTTTTGTTCTCATTTCTTCAATATTGTTCAGGATAATCTCTTAGATTGGCTTTAATGATATTCAGCAGTAATGAGCTTGGACGTGGTGGGAAGCTAATTGGGTTCTCCTTTGAATTTTAAAAGTTTTCTTTTCTCTTTTTTTTTGGATATTTGTTTAAAATTAAAATGAATCAAGAGATCAAAGAGTACAAGAGTAAAGTGTCCTGAGCAGTATCAAGCACATGTGGATGATGTAGTGGAGACCGCCTTGTTCTGTGAAAAGCTGAAACGTTGCGTCTCACCTGCTCATTTCCGCCTTTCTTTGCAGGACAGCAGTCTCTGAGCAACAGCAGGGACATCAGTGCCATGGACACCCTCCCCCTCAACGGCAATTTCAACAACAGCTACTCCCTGCGAGACGACGACTATGAGGCCGTGGGCGTTCGAGCCCCGGGTGACCTGGGGGGCCTCAACCTGGACGATGCCGCTTTTGAGAAGTTGATCATATCCGAGATTGTCCACAACAACCTCAGGCCCCGCGGGGCTCCCAAAGGTCGCGATGCTCCACGGGAGAGGGACAGAGTCTTGCCTCCGCAGACCAGGGTGACGGTGGACCGGGGAGGGGGCGGGGGTGGGAGCGGGAGCGAGGATGACGCCATCGTGGCAGATCACGCCGATGCCTCATCCCCGCAGAGAGGGAGCGGAAGAGGAGGCCACGCCACCCTGGAGCTGCTCCTGCACCCCCACCACAAGGAGGTGCTGGAAGCCCCTCTCCTGCCCCAGAGGACTCATTCCTTGCTGTACAGCTCCCAGAAGGCCCCCAGGTGCCTGGAGGGCCAGAGCGGCCATGGCTCTGAGACTGTTACCGCAGAGGAGGACATGGGCTCCCATTCACCCAGCAACAATAGAGACTCCCTTTATACCAGCATGCCAAACTTGAGAGACTCCCCCTCGCCTTCAGCTTCCCCATACCCTCCGGAAGAAGAGGAGGAGGAGCTCTCCCCCTCACCTCAAAGCGAGAGCGAGGACGCGTATCACAAAAGCATGCCTGAGCTCGGCGATGCGCCGCAGCCGCTGTCCTACTACCACATAAACCGGGGCACCAGCGACGGGTGCATCATCCCACCCAACAACGAAGACTGTGCGCATGACGGAGAGGTGCCCGCCGACGGACAAATGCAGCTCATCACCAGCCTCTGAGCGGGCGACGCTTTGTTTGCACAGGTTTTAGCAGGACGGGTGCATCGGAGAGAGCCGGCGAGCCTGGCTCCGCACTTCACACGCTCTTTCTGTTCTTTGTGTCAGGACAAGAAGTGAAAAGTTGTTGGGTGGAAAAAGGAATGAATGAATACATGACTTTTGCACACAGATCTCATTAACACACAAAACACATCCCATCTGAGGCCAGACAAATGTGGACTGTGAAGGCTCTGCTGTTGGACTAAAGAGGAGCAGAGAATGACACGTAGGCCGAGATAAATCTGGCATTTCTGTTGTACTGCGAGAAAAATCGAAGAATAAGAGTTAAAAAAAACAGAGAAAAAAAGGGGGAAAAGTACTCTAAGAACTATGAAACTCCTGACGTATTCCTGGGGGGGCTTTGAAGAACTGGGGTCTTTTTAGTCAAGAAGTGCAGAACTAGAACTAGTGTGGCTCCACTACACAGTCAGGACTGTAAAGTTAAGAAACCACTAATTCAGACTCAGGCCTTATATTTTCTCTATTGCACATTTAACTGTTGTCAAAGTAACAGCTGAAAAAAATATATTTTGCTGTACCACTAGTGTAAAAAGTGAAATTAAAAAAGGAAAAAAGAAGAAGAAGAAAGGCAACCATTCAGTAGTTCTTGCCCTTTCAATGTTAATAAGATTCTTCAGACAAGGCTAATCAAAAATGGTGGAAATGTGCTTTTCCTCTCACACTTGACTTGTTGTAGTATGTTTGAATATGAGAAAATCATTTAAAAAAAAGTTTTTGGGAGATACAAAATCCATATGAAATCATCATGCTCACGTCTCTGCTTGTGAAGTGCTTTTTGCTTTCATGAATGATGAGTTTTCGCCAGTAGTTAATATTTGTTAACACCGGGCCATGCACAGATTTGGAGTAAAATTGGATCCTCGTGTAATTTATTTTACTTGAAAGAAATTGTCGGGTTTCTGAGACTTTTTTTAATGCGACGTAGATGCGATATTGCAGTTTTTGAGGACATTTCATCCTTTGACACGAATTAATTTATTAATTATTCCAAGAAAAATGTTAAAAAACAAAAAAAGAACATGGTTGGGAAGTGTGAAAAGTTGTTGCAGCACTGATTAGGTTCATTTTATTTCTTTTTGTAAGAGCCCATCATCAGCTGGTATTTAATTCAACTCCTGTTTGATATCAAATAAATGTGAAATTTTTTCTTGTTCGCAGATGTTTGGTTGCTTATTCGCATTCGGAATAATAAATCACAGACATATTTCACACTTTTATTAAAGGTAAAACCCACAAATAGACCCAAACTACAGACTTGTTGGTGAAAAAAACAAAGCATTTTTACATAAACACATGGACACATTTATCAATTTTCTTCTTCTCGTAAATGGGAATAAATTGTGGATTTGTGTGGAAGTATTTTCTTGGGTGGATTAATGCACACGTGATTTGCTAGTGACGTCATATTGTGTTTCAAATATAAATAAATTCATGGATAACTTTATAATTCATGACATATAAAAAACAAAAATCCCCATTTTTCCATTCACACAGGCATTTTCTCAGCTGCTTAACCAATTCAGGGTTGCAGGGGAGGGGCTCAAATCTGTCCCAGCTGCCCATTTGAACAGGTTGCCAAGCTATCACACTATCCCCCTTTTTCACTACATAAAGAATCAAATATTCTGTATGTTAACTGAATTAATTATCTCTTTAATACACTTTGTGTTGATGCTCCCTGATGGCAGCATCCTCACACACAGCAGGATAGTGCCCTCAGTTGAACCCCAGACAACACTGGAACGTGAAACACTGCCAAGTGCCAAAAGTCTTAACCCAGCATCCAAAAGAAAAAATCCTCCAAATCCCAATCAGATCGAGCAGCCGTGGCCCAAACACTGCAAAACCCAAACACCCAAAGGACACGCTGCCAGACACCACAGGAGACACCCTGGAGCTCCCGCGTTCAACACAGACATGCTCTGTTGGCAAGAAGGCGCATCGACACAAGACTAGACAAATGTTTTGCATTTTATCAAAATCATTTGTAAATGTGCAAATAGTGTGAGTGCAACATTCAATCGGCATCGTTCTAACAGTCTGATGGTTGTCTTTCTACCCAGAGACTGCATGTTGTCTGATTTTAGCCTTCCAGTGCACAAAAAAAGAGAAAAACATCTCCTTTATGTGTGTCAGCCATGATGTTCTCACAGCAAGATGTTGTTTCTGTCCTCATTCTGTCTCTTCTTGCATCTGCGCTTGCATCTCGCAGCTTTGTACGGGACGTTTGTTGTCTCACCGTAATGCCTGTCTGCTCCGTGTCCAGCAGCAGCATCGGCGGCGGCAGAAGCTTCGTAAAAAGTCCCCCAGTGGTGTAAATCCGTTTTGGGGAAGAAGGAAAAGAACTCAGCTAAAGAGTTGCAGGTGTAATCTAAAGTTGACAGCGTGTGATAAATTGCAGTCACAACTCAGAACTAATTGAGATCCATCTGTTATCGCTTCTTTTTATAGCAACACCAACTCGGTTAGACAAAATGAAACATTTGCGTTTGGGAAGCTCCTGACAGTTGGCTCGAACGGGTTGGAGGTTATCCACTGAGCTTGTTGACGTGGATACATCTGAGATCGTCATTAAAGAAGAGGTTTAATCTGCCAGGACCATCCTAAAGCAATACGTCACTAGATTATTTTCTTCTCTTTAAATTCCACTACTTAATGAGCTGTGCTGCAGGAATGAACTGCGGATTTAAAAAAGCTGCGCCCACTATCGCGGCCATTTAATGATCGCGCCAAAGCAGTTGAAGCTTCGTGGCCTGTGTAGTTCTTTTTGTGGGCTTTATTGACCAAAAAGAAACAAAAAAAATAATAATCAGCTCGAGCTTCTGACTGCCACTGCAAGAATACGCTGTGACAGTAATTATGCAAGTTTAACAAGACGTGCCATAATCATTTTTGATCATCCTCTGTGTCTAAATCATTCCATGTGCTGAGCTGCTGCGCATCATCTGAGGAGAAGACAGAGTGGATGAGACTCCCATCACAGACTTAGCAAATGTGGCATGCAGTTTGTCTTTCATCCGTGGCTTTTTCAGCTTGAACTGACCACACACATACACCCACTCAGCAGACATACGGTCGCAGCAGGATCTGGGTGGTGCACTTTATTAACTGGAGCTGGGTGCCAGTAGGCTGTCGGGAACTAACACGGAGGCCAAAGCAAAGCTCTGAGTCCACCGTGGCTTTCTGTCTTGTTGTTTGAACATCGGCCTCTCGGTTTACACAGGGCCATCCAAAAAGCCCCGCGGGAGACACCGAACCCATCTGCAAGTCATCCAGAAACTCTGCTTCCTTTCACTTAAGACTCGAATTAAATGCAAAGTTGATGACCTGCTCGCGGTTCACCGGGAATGAGCCCGCACCCTCTGCGAAAGCAGTCTTATGATAAACGCCGGACGTGACGAGCTCGCAGCGGGACTTCACACGAGACGAACCCTTCGGGACAGGCACGCGTGATGCAACTGCGAGGATGGCTTCCCCGCCTGTGATTCATAACAGGCGAAATTGAGATGAATGGATGTGCTGAGCTCTCTTTGCCAAGCATAAGGCTCAGTTTTGCATGATGCATATATATTGGTTCATTATCACTAAGTCACCTGTGCTCTGCATTAGCTCTCTCACCCCATTATCTTAAAGAACATTGGATTTTGAAATAGAACAATATATAAATGATCCTGTACTGTTTGTGCTTGTCTGCCTGCGTGTGTTGGAGTGGGGTGTGCGTGTGTGGGGTTCTTCATACAAAGATCAGCATTTCCCGGGCACTCCTTATCCTGCTGCGATGATTTCCGACCATTCATCCTCTTCAAAGATATTCCTTCCACCTTTGACTTTTCATTGAGCTGCTGACATTACCGTCTCTCATTATCTGATTATATTATGATGCAGCGTATTAGCCATGCAGTGTTTGTGTTGCAAATGAAAAAGTTGTCAAAGTTTGTTGGAGATGAAAGTGCTTCATTTATCAACTCATCTTTTATCTGTTCGTAGTCAAAGCCCAGCTTCCATGGGGCAGTGGCAAATGAAGGCGCAATAAGGCTCAGTCCGAGAAGACATTACCGTGTTTTCATTTGGAACTGTTTGATGTTCCAGCCTCTGGTGATTTGGACATTATTTCATGTCCATCATCAAAAAGACATCAAACAAGATGCTGCATTCAAAATCAGATCACAGAGCCTCGGCCAAATGTGGTGTGCTTGTGTGTGTGTGTGTGTGCAATGACTGCCTATATACTGTATACTGTGTGAGTACTTAGAAAGGAGGTACACTTTTTTTTCTTAACAAATTCCCCCCCAAAGCTTTCTCAAAGCTAACATGAACAGGATGTTTACAGAGACAGCTTTTTGACCCACTCCACCAAAGTCTGTCTTTTGGAAAGGAGAGGGGGGGCATTATTATTAAAATTAAAACACATTCTTGCAGACAATATTTATATTCTTGGATAGCAATCTTTGTTCTTTAGCTAGTGCAGAAACTATGCATGATTATATTATCACAACCACAATGCAGGGGGAGAGTTGTGTGTCCTCGGGGCCTCTGTAAATGTAAAGCTTGCATTCCTCCATATTTCACTGCTCTGCAGCATGAAGATAAAGAATATCTGAACCGCTCCTGCATCTGCTGCCACCCATCCCACCGAACAGCGCCGCACTGCCTTGGCTCACTCGGCTTCTCTGTGTGACACAAACCTGCCTGCAAAACAAGGCGAAATCAAGCTGCCTTGCATTTTTATGCTGGTGGAGAATAGATGTGAAAGGTGTGTTGAATAGGAGTGGGGGGAAAAGAAAAATCTGTTTTTCCTGTGCAGTTTATGGCACTTTAACCATGCTGTGATTCTCTTTTAATTTTTATTTTTATTTTAGCCCCTTGACATTTCTAGTTTGTTGTTTTAAAGCTTGTTAGAAAATTACCACAACTAGCCCTCATCGGTCCCAGCAGAGGCCCATTTAAATGAAATATGGGCTTTCACTCAACTTTAACAAATAAAAGCTATTATGAGAGATTAAGACTTTTGGCTTAAAATATGCTCAAGAGTCCCTTTTCCTGGCTGGCTGGCTCAGAAAGCCTGTATATAATTTGCAGGGAAAGAAAGAAATGGAGTGTGTTTCAGACCGAGTCAGGGAGGCTGAAGAGGAGAAAGCGAAGGGGAAAGATGGTGAGACAGACGGCGAGCAGCAGCAGTCTAACATGTCAGAAACAATCTGAGTCTGAGCCCCGCAGTTGTAAAACTGTCATACCTCGTAGGAAACACCAGCAGTGACCTCAGAATTGGGCTAAGGTAGCCTGTCACACCCATTATACAGTAAACACTCTGTAGAGGGCTGTGTTTTGGTTGGGTTGTCTCCCTTAAAGTAATATCAATACATTCCCGGGAGGCACAAACACAACACACGACTGCCATTAATCAAACGGTCAAGAAAGGAATTTTCCCATATTTAAGCAATTGGTCCCACATTTTTTGGCCATTTGAGACAAAACATAATGATTGTAATTATTTTTTCTCTTTCTGTTTTTTTCTTTTTTAAATCTAGGACTAGAAAGGTGAATGTGTGAGAAAGCATATCTCACTGGAGTCTAGACGTGGAAAAAATAAATACATTTGTGAAGATAAAATGTAGCCGATTCTGCTGTGTGTCCCAGTTCAAAGTGTTGTTTGATTTGGCAATTCAGAGAAACAGTATTTTCAAAAGACAGCACAGAGAGTATGGAGGACCAAATCTGCCAAAATCTCAACCAAATAAAATCCTTGAAAAATAAAAATGCGAGTGTGAGTTTGTGAGCAACCGGCACAAGGTTGACCCTTTAATGCACTGTGAAGGACAACCGTGCATGAATAGGTCCGAGGGGAAACCATATAGGTGAAAATGTAAAGAAAAAATAACCGAGTAGGAGAACTGAAAAAATAAATAAAATGGAAAAATGCAGGAAAATTAATGCAAAGGTAAATAATGCAGAGGCATATGTTATGCTATAAATTACAGTAAAGTCAAGATTTTATTAATGCATACAGTTATTTTAAAATAGATTCATTTTTAATTATTAAATAATAAATATAATTAATCCATGTAATAATTTCAACATTCATTTGTTTAATTAATTTATTTTTTACATCATGTTTAGGTCAAAATTAACAGCTTATTATCTAAAAATGTCAAC